AAAAAATTAAAAGAAAATGTAAAATAAACGGCGACGACGGCGACGACAGACGCAGATGATGGCTATATGTACAGACACATCTGTGTCTGTACATAAAAACAGTTTTCCACTTATCGTGTTATCAGTAAAAGTGCACGGCGACGATGACGACGACGACGACAGACGCAGATGATGGCTATATGTACAGACACATCTGTGTCTGTACATAAAAATAAAGTAGCCAGCTCTCTACCAGTACTGAGTACATATAGCATATGCCAATTTACACTATACACTTTACATTCAAATATAAGGTGTGTAATAGATTCTACCACATCCAAACAGAAATAACAAATTTCAAAGAGAGACAACACCTAGCTTATACTTACTCATGCAGCAGATGTGTAGTTATATACAGCAGTACACTCCTGGATTGTTTCAAGGCATACCCAAACATATCCTTTTCTCTCAATCCATGTAGAGGGCCACTTTCAATCAACATACAAGTCATCCCTTGTCCTGCTAAATCTGGTAAAAATGTAAAATATATGTTATATATTCAACTCCAGAAACACATGCATTTCACTGAAATTTACTTAATATATCCAATTTAAATTAACTGACAATGTAATACCTATATATCATTTATCTATAGAGGGTGCTTCTTATTTACTGGTACACATAAGTAACTTACATTCAACAAAATGACCTGCCCCCAACATCTATGTGATTGGGAAATAATTTTTATACTATAACTTTACATGTTACATGTTGAATGGCCATAAAACATTTCTTAGTTCAAAGTATTAAACTGAGTTTTACTCATTTCCACAAACCTTGAGATAGTTGTTCTACCTCTATTTCATCTCTTCTATCATAAAAAATGAAAACATTATATTCTATATCTTCCCCTGGAAATGACCAAGTTATTTACTTATTACATTCATCTTATACACATTTTGATTCGCAGATGTAGCCAAGATCTCATTTGCTCTCAGAAGGTGATTACAGAAGTCAACTGTGTCTAATTATTATGCCAGTTCCAATTCAAGATTCAAAAGACACCACAAAACAAGCTTAGTTTGACTTTTAAATCACAAAGTATTCAGAATATTTGAGTTATTAATTACTAGGCAGATATACCCACGGTAGCTTTAAAATATTTTTTTATCTCCTTCATAATATTTTATGGTGGAGCATCCCACCTCTTCAAANTTTGCTCTCAGAAGGTGATTACAGAAGTCAACTGTGTCTAATTATTATGCCAGTTCCAATTCAAGATTCAAAAGACACCACAAAACAAGCTTAGTTTGACTTTTAAATCACAAAGTATTCAGAATATTTGAGTTATTAATTACTAGGCAGATATACCCACGGTAGCTTTAAAATATTTTTTTATCTCCTTCATAATATTTTATGGTGGAGCATCCCACCTCTTCAAACAGCAACTTCGCTTGTTGTGTTTGCATCTGGTGGTATAACAAATTTTGAAAAAAAAAACTGGTCAATATATCAGTGATATCAAACTATCAAACTCAGGGTGAAAAGTAAATGTATGGTTAGCTGACAGAGACAGTTACTGTAATAAACAGTATTTTTAATACGCAGGGATATTACCTTTGATCCTCATTGACAAATGTTTCAAAAATCCTTCCTCTCTGCTATCTATGGGTATCAAATGTCTCAAGGACAAAGGTAATTTTCTCTGTTCTTCACTGGTGATGTCTCCATATACAGGGATGACTTGCTTTTGCTGTGACATAGCTGCATGCATTATCCCTTTTGTTTCCATCTTCAACGAAAAACTAAGATAAAGAACAGTAATTTATGTGAATTTTGGTATAGTAAAAGATTTGTGAGAGAAGGGGACTTTTTTCAGAATTCATAGACAAACTTAAAGAATTAACACAGAAAAAATAGTTTCCAGACTCAACTCATAACTTAAATAATAAACCAAAATTTATGTGAATTTTGTCATATGATATTAAAGGATGCGTGAGAGAGAGAGACTTTGTTTCAAAATTCAATAACAAAAGCAAAGAACAGACACACAAAAACAGATACAATCAAAGTATACAGAAGATTCCAAGAATACACTTACAACTTACCACATACTACAAATAATACATAAACAGATTTTTTTCTGGAGATAGCATAAGTTTCTTTCAAAAAGCATTCTTATTCTGCAAAAAATTGGCTTGATCCCCTTTTAAATCATGAGTAAACAATAATTTCACAACTATAATTATTGGATTAATTTGTTTGTTCTTAACTGTCATTTCTAACAACCATAACACTGTTGTTAATGAAATGTCAAGTTATGCATTACTTAAATTAAAAATAAAGTAACCAGGTCTCTACCAGTACATCTCCCTGCAGGCATAGTTGCGTTGGATCAATGTTGAAAACAGGTTGATACGTTGAATTGCCGTTGATCTACCTAAATTCAAAGTTAAATCAACGTTGATCCAGCCACGTTGACTCAACCTTGTATTTTGGTCAATGGCACAACCTTGCAGTTATGGATTGTAATTTAAAATATTAATTATTAAAAACGTGATACTTTGTTTATCAATACTGTAACTAAATTTATCAAAATAATAACAAAATGGTTTTGAAGTAAAAGTGACAATTGTTTTGTGTCTTTAAGGGGCCCGCACACGGTGAGCATTTGGCGCGCGCCACTTGCGCTGCGCTGTTTTCTCATCATGTGCGGGGGTATTTTGGTGAGATTTTTGCCTCTCGCGCGGCTGAGCAAAATTTCTCACGTGTTTGATTTTTTTGGTCTCTTGAGGCAAATGTCTCAGCGTGTGCGGGGTGCAAGCGCCAATTGCTCACGCCATGCCAACAATGCGCATGTGCCGGTAGCCGGAAACAAAGAAAAATGGCAGCCCCCAGCGAAGTAAACAAAAATGTACGCAGTTATAGTTAGTCTGATTGATTAACGTGGTCACCATTTGCTATTACTTTCAGAAAAAAAATAAATATGTAATGTTTTCTTAATTACACGATCCCACAGTTCGCGCATCGTTTGCGGGGAGCTGAGGAGCGCGAGCATCTGGCGCAGTGCAAGTGGCGCGCGCCGAATGCTCACCGTGTGCGGGCCCCTTTAGTTAACTAGTGAATTTTCTTAACTTGTTATTCAGAAATACATTCCAATAAACTGAATTGCTTGCAAGGTCAGCTAACACCAGGATGAATAGGTTGCTATAAACAGTTCTTAGTAACCTGTTATAGATAGACAGGTTGAGGTGACTGTGACCTTGTTATATATATATATATATATATATATATATATATATATATATATATATAAGATCTATATATATTAATCTAAACCTTGGAAATTTTAACTTAAAGGCCATACATTTATACCCTACATATATTTAGCCATCAAACATGTCCTACTGCTAAACACATCCAGGCAAATTTCCTGGGTGGGGTTGATATAACATTGTTTTCTGACGTTGATACAACGTTGTTATCTGAGGTTGACACAACTTTCAAATCCAACGTTTATTCAATGTCTTTTCAATGTTATGGTTCAACGTTGTTTCAACGTTAAAACAACATAATTTGCCCACTGGGTATAGCATATGCCAATTTACACTACATACAAATATAAGGTGTGTAATAGATTCTACCACATCCAGACAGAAATAACAAATTTCAAAGAGAGACAACACCTAGCTTATACTTACTCTTGCAGGTAATGTGTAGTTATATACAGCAGTATTCTCCTGGATTGTTTCAAGACATAATCAAACATATCCCTTGCTCTTATTCCATGTAGAGAGTCAATTTCAATCAAAACACAAGTCATCCCTTGTCCTGCTAAATCTGGTAAAAATGTAAAATATATGTTATATATTCAACTCCAGAAACACATGCATTTCACTGAAATTTACTTAATATATCCAATTTAAATTAACTGACAATGTAATACCTATATATCATTTATCTATAGAGGGTGCTTCTTATTAACTGATACACATAAGTAACTTACATTCAACAAAATGACCTGCCCCCAACATCTATGTGATTGGGAAATAATTTTTATACTATAACTTTACATGTAACATGTTGAATGGCCATAAAACATTTCTTAGTTCAAAGTATTAAACTGAGTTTTACTCATTTCCACAAACCTTGAGATAGTTGTTCTACTTCCATTTCGTCTCTTTTGTCATAAAAAATGGACACATCATTTTCTTCCCCTGGAAATACACATTGTCAAGTTATTTACTTATTATACTCATCTTGCACACACTTTGATTGACAGATGTAGCCAAGATCACATTTGCTCTCAGCAGATAATCACTAAAGTCCACCATGTCTAAATTATGCCAGTTCCAATTCATTCACACATAAGATATCACTACATAAAAACAAGCAGAGTTTGACTTTTAAATCACAAAATATTCAAAATATTTTAGTGGTTAATTACAAGGCAGACATTCCCATAGTTTTATAATGTTTTATTTATCTCCTCAATAGTATATTTTCTGGTGGAGCATCCCACCCTTTCAAACAGCAACTTTGCCTGTAGTGTTTGCATTTGGTGGTACAATCAATGTGAAAAAAACTAGTCAACATATCAGTGATATCAAACTATCAAACTCAGGGTGACAAGTAAATGTATGGTAAGCTGACAGAGACAGTTACTGCAATAAANTAACCACTATGTATTTCATAAACTTCATATGAAAGTTATAATGTGAAATGATCCCACCTACAGGGCAGTGAATAACGGACTGTTAGACACCTACCAACTGAAATCCCTGGATGCTGTCCTGGAAGCTCCTATAGAAGAAGCTGCTTTAGTGAAAACCAAGCAGGGGAAAATTAAACTTGTTTTTTCTGCTGGAGATATGGATGAAAATCTGTTTGATAACTTTGCTATGAGAGATGATTACGATGTGGTGATAAGGTGCACTGGTTGGAAATTTGATGATGAGGTGTTTCATAAGTAAGTGTTTAAGATATGACTTTGTTAGAGATGTAAAATGAAATGATATTTATTATCAATTATATGTCTTTAGTAATATGACATCTTTCAAACATCAGTTTTAAAAATAAAACCTAAGTTTAAGATCCCACATGCTGGATTTTATTTGTTAGAGATTATTGGTATGGTTGATTTTGGGTGGAAGAAATTAAGGGTGAAAAAAGAAAAAACTAGCACTTATTTTAACACCATGCATGGCATTATAAAAAAGATGAAAATGATATGGAGCATTAAGGGAGAATATGGAAAGCTCAATGAATTTTTTTTTGTCCCTATATCTTTCTAAATGTTATGTTGCCTAAAGAATTCAGCTATGACAGAATAAAATGTGCTTATCTTGTGCTGTAGTATTGACAAAATGAAACTATAGATAAAATTGTATAATAATATCTTTATGTTCTCAAAGTTCCACTAAACCTGAAAGAGGTCAAGGACGGCGTAAGAAATTTCCAAAAACTCTCCCAACTTATGAGTCCACCAACATCCCTGGTCTGTTTTTTGCTGGCACCAACTCTCACTCCGTGGACTTCAGGAAGTCAGCTGGAGGCTTTATACATGGATTCAGATACACAGGTGAGAGAAAAGACCTACTGTACAGATTGCAATTTTAAAGGAGATGTGCATATTCAGCAGACCCTTTATCAAATTCTGATTTAGAAGGGATCTTTTCACCCAAAAAGGGCAGTTCATTTGAATCCCTTGAACCTTCCAGCATTTGCACCTTTGATGATAAACATTTTTTGTTTTTTTTTATTCTGTAGATAATCACCACCATCACTACAATATAATATTCATGTTAATGTTCTAATTGACTAGCTACAGTATGGGTTTATTTTCCAGCAAGGACACTGTACAATTATCTAGAGCACCGCAACCATGGTGTTGAGTGGCCGTCTATAAAAGCACCCATCACAGAACTTTTGGATAGGATACTGAAGAGGATTAATGAAGCCTCTGGAATATATCAAATGTTTCAAGTTCTGGGAGATGTTATACTGTTAAAAAAGTATGTGATTGTCAAGTATGAATTTGATATTATGCTCATATCATTTTGTGTGTAATCATTGTGATATGGTTGCTTTCTACATTAATTTTACATGTTATTTTCCATACAGTGTGTTCAGATATCTTTTATTGAGACTGATTCAAATTTTTACAAGATGAGTAATGTGTTCACTTTTCTTTTTTTGGGGGGGGGGAGGGGGTGTAAGTACCAATAGGTATGAGCAGCTAACTTTTTTCCTTTTCAGTAATGGCAGAGAATTTGAATACTTGGAAGAGTTTCCAATCATGTCCCTTCCAAAATTTCATGAAATAACTGGCAAAACAGCAGAGAAGATAATTGTTGTAGTTTTGGAGTATGGTGCTAACTTCTCCGGTCCTGGTAATGATGTGTTCAGGTTGAACAGAGCTACAGGAGAGCCCTCTGATGCACATCAGTCCAACTTTCTTCATCCTGTGTTTTATTATTATGAAACTTTACCCACAGGTTTGTATTTCAAGTACTTTCAATCTTTTGTTTGAACCATATTTATCATTACCACTGTTGTGAAAGTTTTATATCATTGCACTAAAGGGTTTCTGTAAAACCTCATGCTTTTGATTTCCAACAGATGTTGGTGGTCCCAAAGCATATTTTTGTGCGTCAGTCAAGATTTTGCCTGAAAACTGTCAACTTTGAGTGAAATCAGTAGCAAGATGTGTACTCGAACCTAAAGTCATTATGTGTCCCTTTTCATATGGAGCCCCATCCTTATACAACACAGCCTGTATTGGTATACACTGAAAGATTGGTAACTTAATAGTCTGGCTGTAAAGTAAGAGAGTCACCTAACTGGACCCCTTGCAAAGCCAACTTCTGCTCAAACAGCAGGAAACATTGTGAAAGCAAGTATAAACCCCTGCAGTATAATTACATATACAGATCTCTCACAGTGTACCAGTCAGGCTGTATTGATAGAGAATACCACTTTGTGTGAAAAGGGTTTTAGTTTCAAGGGATTCCAATGCAACTTATTTAGATCCCCATGAATTTAAGATATCCCTGTGTATGTTTGTATAGGCGTCTTGCATTGCCTTGGAAAACATCCCTTTTCAGATGTTTTTTGCCCACTTTTACTTCACTTGGTGGTTTTTTTTAAATAGAAATAAAACTACATGAAACATCAACTCTCAATTACATATTTTAAAAACTATTTCAGAAAAAGATATGAAGAAAAAGGGAAGTAAGACATTGCCAAAACCTGTTCATTTACACCATATTGTTGAGGATTTTCTAACCACATGGGATGCACCCCTCAGCCACATTCTGCCATTGCGACAGTTCTTAGAAAGATGTATTGGTACTGACATGAGGAAGTACTTTGCCAGTTCTTGTTTCACTCTGGCCATGACACATCAGACATTACCATTGATGTGCCAGGAGAAATATATGCAAGGTCAAGGTCTTGTTGGAACTGAGGCTCTCTTGCTCAGAGCACGCATAGCATCATTGTTATAACAGCTGGAATATGATCTGGAAAAAAGGGCATAATTTTTGCTGTAGGCAAATAACTGAAGAATTTACAAGTAAAATATTTTTCTAAAAATTGATCTTACATTGGTAAAAATTATTATATTTTTCATTTTCATAAGACCCGGTCTCACTGGCATTTAGGATGAATTTCGCATGAATTGCGAACAAAATTGGTTGATATTCGCTAAACATCTGCAATATTCGTGATACATGCTTGTATCATTCGGTCAGCATCTGCATATGTCCACAATTATCCGCAGAGACACTTTTTCTGTTCCCTAGATATTTGAGCTGCCGAAAATTTCTGTTGCATATGATTTGTGAACATCTGCAAGGACATCTGCTTTTATTTGTGACACACAAACAATAATTTATTAATTTGTTTGTAATTCATACTGTTCTTATCAGCACACTATTGTGGAAAATGTATCATTTTTGGTCAATTCTGTTTTGGATGACAATGAAGGCCCAAATCCCAAGAAAATTTGTAACCTCAATTCATCCAACCTCAATTCATCTTTTCGTCTGTGTGACCAGGCCTATATAGCAGATAGACTTATTAACTTGTGTTTGGGAAACTGTACATTTGGTACCAAAAGCCCATCATTTTAATTTTTGTTAATTCCCACACTTGGAACTAGCAGTATGCCTGTTCCTAAATGTAAATGAAAATAAAAAAAATACCAAAGATAAGTTAAAATATAGAAATGTATCATTCAAAGGATTCCTAAATGGAATCTTTATGCAATTTTTTGTTCTGTGTTTTGTATTTTTCTTTGTGCAGCTGAGGTTTCTTTACTTTAGACAGAGCTTTGTCAGGGCCAGCTTGTGAATTCTACACAGATAGTTTTGAAAATGGTATAAATAAGAAATTTTGTTTGAGCTTTTCCTTTAAAGGCCAACAATGAGCAGACCTTTATAGACAATTAATGTAATATTACTGGAAATTTTCAATGTCTACAATTGTTCACAGAATTACAATCCATGTATTCTTTTTTGAGTTTTTGATTCTCTCTCCAAATAGAGATTATATATATATATATATATATATATATATATATATATATATTTATATATATATTTATTTATTTATTTATTGTTGCTTTAAAAAGGTCTAACATGCATTGTTTATATTAAGATGAAACCCATTAATAATAACAATTTGACTTTTCCAAAGAATTAGTAATGCTGTTAAGGTAATTCAAATTTGGACAGCTATTTTAATTACATATTGTAAGTTTATTTTGATTAAGGCTTATTGTACTATAAGCATTTTTATGATAAATATACAGAAAGATGCTGCGGATAGTTGAACAGAAATGGTTGTGCAGCTCTGTGAAGTTTGACTCATCTGTCTCTTTTTGTGCAATGAGATCAATGTGATAAAAGAAAGCTCTATTTTTATATGCAGCTAAAAGAAGAGACGATTCTGCTTGGAAGGAAAAAAACACCAAAAAAATTGCCTTTGGCTTGGCATTTAGTATATATGCTGATAACATTGTTTATATTTCATAGCAGTCTACATGCATGATTTTTGTAAAGGTTGTTAAACTATCAATATGTATTTAAAAGTTAGATTGCAGAATCCAATGATGTATTGTGAAGAGGTTTTAGAAGGATTCTGCTGCTACTACACAGTGGTTCATATATTTTTTCTTTTATTATGTATGAACTTATTTGTGGCACTATGATCATGTTTGTGTGCATAAACATGCACATGCATACACACACACACACACACACACACACACACTTGTCAAAGCCAATCCAGTATTCAGATGAAAACTACTTTAATATTTTACTCAGTACTTGTATTTTTTATACAAGTACAAAAGTAAAACCAATTTCATGATATTCAGTACATCTATCATTTTATTCAGATGAGGTGATTGATTGATTTAAATCTTATTATAATTAGAAATAGTGGTTAAGGTTGGTGAACTTGATGACTGTTTAAGGTTATTTATTCAGAGAGAACCCTTAAATAATGCATAATAGGCAAGGTGAAAACCTTTCCTAATAATGATTTTGAATAGCACCGATCGTGTCTTTTGTGCTGGATGTGCTAGTTGGGGATAAAGCAGATGGAGCACCACCACCATCTAGTGTTTCCTCTACCACAATGTTCTTGGCACAACCGACACGTCGTAATAAACGTTATCTGGATAACACTGCCACACCTTAGAAATCTGAGAGCGTACACAGCATCATGTTCGATAAGATCGTAATACAAACTGAATGTTTACTGCATCTTTTTATTACCTGATCAGTAGTTAAGTATAAAATAAAAACTGACACGCTATTAAGTGACACTGGCAGCTATATCTTTCATTCGAAATAAAATATTGTTTTGCTGTTTCACTCAATTGTGGTTATGCTGGCACATCAAGACAGACAAGAACTGGTAAAACAGTGCATTCTATGTTAGCTGCGAACTATTGAGTCTAAGGAATAATGAATCTTCAGATTAATGGACCTTGACTACTGAACCACCTTTGTTTTTCAATAGAAAGATTTATGGCAAAATTGTGTCCATTTGCACAAAAAAAAAAAAAAAATGTTCAAAACTAAAAGAAGTGAAAGTATGCTCTAGCATGAAGTTGATCGGGGATGGATTTCTGCAAGTGTGTTCCGGAAGCCGGTCTGTTTTTTTTTTTTCTTCCATTCTAAGTCTGCGTTGTGAAATTGATAATCTTAATATCTCCTGGGACCCTGGGCCTGCCCTCAGCTGTCACTAAAGCTCATTTTGCACCTGACCGTCTTCCAAACTACTAACTGCTTCGGCCGTATGACTTGGTCCAATGGCTGACACGCTTCCATCTCTGTCGTTTGTCTTTGACGTATCTCTTGGAAGGTTTCCAACTGCCTTTAATTAAAAAAGATTGGCATTTAAAACTAGACCAGGTATCTGACCAGAGAGGCTACAGTTATTAGCCTCTTACGCAACGCTGCACCGCCTTTATAATGATACCTCAAAAGGAGGTGTACCTTGATATCTTGTGAGCGTTCAGCGAGATCTTATATTAAATCTTTGAGGCAACATTACACAGGTGGTTTTATTTGTGTGATTAAAAATATGTCTGTTATGTTCAATGGGTTTACTGACGCTTTCGAATTTTTTTTCTTAAATGGGCACACAGTTCGTCAATTACTATATTTATATTGAAACGAATAGGATGTTTTAATATAGAAAATGAGAATTACACCAACAAGTGTATTTTAAAGTGAAACTGCAAAGACGCGGAGGGAGGTGGATTACAAGTGTAACATATCTTTGAAGTAATTTTCAATGCCAACATCTGAGCCACATCCCAAATGCAAATTAAATTGAAGATCTTTAATGACTGTTCATCCTTCCGGTCCACTTTGCTACAGTCCTGATTTGAACTACCACTTTTGCAGAGCTCACGTATCATTTTCTGGTGGTCAGCTTTTGAAAGAAAGAAGTTAAAATTGCAGGCATACAATGTGCAGAATTGAATATCCCCATTATCACCAAGGCATGCCCTGTCCAAAACCACTGAGAAAATTACTGTCTATAAACCCGTTTTTCGAGTTTTGAATTTCTCATTTTTTACCATCACGAGAAAAATCCCCTAGTCCCAATTTTCGTTACGAGAGTTACTCAAAAACTAGAAAACAGAACTAAAAAGGGTTTATGGATCGTAATTCTGTGGATAGGTTTTAGACATGGTAAACTTTTGTGATTAAGAAAAGAGGTCCAAATTTTCAACAAAATTAAATGTTCAGCCATAACAATGTGTGCCTTAAGCTAAGAGGTTTCTGAATGGATCTAATTTTAAGCAGTGGGCCTATAAATGAGAGGAAACCTCAATTAAGTAATGTCCGTAAGGTATCATCATTGTCGGCGAGCCTGTGTTCGCAAGTTTGACTTATGTGCGACCCCACTGTGTTTTGAGAATAACCCCGCCCAATATTGTTCATATGCAAACCAGTGAGTGACAACGTACACGTATATATAAGGGTCCGCGTTTAACCGGTTATCATTACTAACACGGGAAACCTTTCGAGCCGTTGACAAGTAAGTAGACGCATTAACATTAAAAGGTAAGAGAATTACATCTGAAAGAATAACGTTTATTGAAGAACCACTATTGTGTATTTTGCTAGTACAGTACTAGTACACGAAGAGAAACAAGATTTGGTCTGAAACGCAAAATGTTTACTCTTTAATTATTTCATAATTAAATAAAGCTAGTTTTTTTAATCATAGATCGAATATACTTCAATAACTTTTTTTTATTTTTTCTCTATCCAACAATAAAGAAGTAGAGAAGATGTCAACAAACATCCCAGGGTTTCTCTCCAAGTGTGTGCTGTTAGTTTTGCTGTGCCTTGTGTCTGGGTCCAGTCAAAACTACCATGAGTACTGTATTGTAGGAGCTGGGCCTGGTGGTCTACAACTTGGATATTTCCTCCAGACCAGCAACAGAGATTATGTCATCTTTGAAAGAAATAATGTATCAGGTAAATTATGTAAAACGATGTATCTTATAGTGGATTTTTATTATTGTGGATTCCTACTGTTTTCCCGTATCATTTGCGTTCGTGGTGCTTTATTTTTTATGGGTATTTTAGACCCCATTCCCATAGACGCCAACGGTCTGCTTAGATCAACCAAAATCTGACTCTGCAGAGACTCTCGCTGAATGTAATCAGCTTAACTGAATGACTCACATCCAATTATTTCTAACGTACCCGTACATTAAGCAGTTTTTTTATGTATTTTACTTAACGCCAGGAGACTGATTGCAGTCTGTGAGAGTCTCTGCAGAGTTGGATCTGTCAACGATGACCAATGGTCTCTATAGGAATGGGGCATTATACTCGATTTTCGTGCCAAGCTGAGTTTTCCTAGAGAAAAAAGTAATTTTCTACTATTCACAAACTGTTGCTCGACCCGTATATCCACTTGAATTGGATATTTTGTACCATTTTTAACGAAAAAAAAAAACAGTTCTTATAATCTTGGACTAATAAAAAGTTTTTTTCACGCAACGTCGAACCTTCTAGTTCATGTTTAAAAGCTTTAGTTTTCTCTTCAAAATACATGTAAGAAGCAATGTGGGAGCATTTCAGCGGGGAATTGTGAAAATAAGTGAATGTTTTAGACATTCATTATTATTATCATTATTGCTGTGTTTTCTCTACCAAATACCAGATGAATGTGTGCAAAAAAAAAAAAAAAAAAAAAAAAAAAAAAAATCGCTGCACAGAACAGAGATGTGCACAGAATTAGCCATAGAAATAAATGTAGGCCTAAATATCAAGCGAAAAATCTTGTTAGTGGTCCTGGTAGAGTGTAATCGCGGTGACCGCCTATTTTGTTTCTGATTACTGTGTTTAAATGGGCATGTCTTTTCATACGTATAGGAGTTATTATGTCACCTGACCCTGGTCCGTTACCGTGACTACCATTACCGCTTGCTATTCATCATCAGCTGTGACCAGCGGTCCCCATTGTTATTTAATTACACTGTTTGTCTGCTACAAGGTCCAGGGGTTACATTGATGATAAACGTTTTGATACATGTATGTGTATATGTATACACCAGGAGAAATATGAGGACATAATTTCTCGGCAGATTTCTGATATTGTATATTTTTGACAAGTCTGAAGGGATGGTGAGGCGTATCCATTACGACAAACAGAGTATAATTCGAAAAGTTATGAAACACTCGGTTTCAGTTTGCACTTATGATGCTGCTTATAAAACCACATTGGAATGGTACTTACGTCCTTTGGTCCTTTATCAGTTTTCTATGATAGCGAATCCTTTAGAGGTCATTCATTTTTATCATCATTTTCCCATGTCTACAAAGAGTACATCCCTCCTTTCAATGAATATAAGGTGAAAAGCGAAAAATGGTGACCTTTGACAGCAATTTGGATAATCATTTATTATTATTATAATTTTCAAAAACTTTCAGAAGGTCATACCCCCCCCCCCAGCAAACGGTTTGTAGACATGTGAAAATGATGTTAAGGATGGATGAATTTTTACCTCCGCCATGGAGGTTATGTTTTCACCCCTGTTTGTCTATTTGTTTGTTTGTTTGTCACCAACATATCTCAAAAAGTTATGGACCGGTTTTGATGAAATTTTCAGGAACTTTTCAGGAAGTGGGCCAAGGAAGAAATGATTAGTTTTTGGTGGTGATCCGGATCAATAATCAATAATAATAATAAAAAAATTGCTGTCCTCGCGGAGGTCTGCGCTCTCGGAGTGCTTTTCTAGTTTTGTTTTGACATGCATCTGAATGCAGTGTTTATAAAAACCACGTGTCGAATCCCGATTCCTTTTGCCTAACTTAAAGAAACACACAAAGTAAAGATGTTTACGGGACCCCTGAAATTAAAAAAACAAACAAACACTCACTCTGAGTAATCGGTTGTCATTCGTTTATACTTATTAGCGTTTAGTTTTTAAGTTAAGCATGCCTTTATTTTAAAACAGGTTCATTTTTTACGAAATATCCTCGGCACGACATGGTGATAAGCCTCAACAAAAGAAACACGGGGAGATCTAACAAGGAATATAACCTTCGCCACGACTGGAACTCGCTCATCAGCCACGACGAGAGCTTACAGGTGCGCCATTATTCCAAAGTGATGTTCCCACACAGAGAGGTGTTGGTAAAGTACTTGGATGACTATCAGAGGAAACTGGGAATCAATGTTCAGTATAATGTGGATGTCCACAATATCAGGAAACACAGTGACACGGGGTTGTTTTCTATGGAGGATCAGCGCGGGAATGCATACAGTTGCAAGTAAGTTAATACTCTCTCCTAATGTGTCATTTCCAACTTTATATCAGTTAAAAAGATTCCATGAATTTTAAGTTTGCGAAACAGTAAACCTTTAATCTGATGATCTTATTTACAAAGATGATGCTGAATTTCTTCATTATAAACTACTAGTAGTTGGGTAGTGCGTTGTTCAGAGATTTAGTAAGCGAATAGTGCATATGTGGACATAAAACATGAATGATCTTTTAGCAAAAAAATATATATATTGTTTAGAGTTATTTGAATACCACATCAATACCAAATTGCAGGAATTTGATCATGGCAACGGGTATGCAGAAAGCGAACGTCCCCAAGTTTCCAGGATATGAACTAGCAGTCGGCTACGAAGACGTGTCGGTGGATCCAGAAGATTTTGAAGGGAAGTCGGTTCTTATTCTTGGTGAGTACGGCCAAACAGTATTGTTCTAATTGCGCTTCTGCTTTTTAAAACTTGATGGCAGTGTAGGAAAAGAAGTAAGTTATTTGTTAAGAATTAAAAACGGTCTTCCAGCTTCAATTTTAATTCTTATTGTTACCTTTGTTGCTGTTATTAACTTTTTGTCACCAAATCACGCTCTCAGTGCAGGATTCGAACATTATTGCGGGTAACGGAGGTTATGATAAAACGATTTAAGTGAGAAGTAAATTTGATTGCAATATTACGAAAGGACACCGAAATCATGCAAATTAAATGATTAATTATCTTATTAAACAAGCTTTTAGTTCCGTAAAAAAAATGAAGTATCTTGATGATATCCCCATCTACATGATGAGTATTTAACTTTAGGTCGCGGCAATTCTGCCTTTGAAGTTGCTGAAAGGATCTATGGAGTAACGAATAATATTTTCATGTTGGGACGCTCACGAATTAGGTTGTCTTGGTCCACTCACTATGTTGGTGACCTCAGGTGAGGGTAATTTTTATTTTTTACATAAGATCCTTTTTAAAAACAGATTTTATCATTCCAATTTTGTCATCCACTTTTAACTAATTAGTTTTGAAATTGCCACTAAAATATAGCGCTCGTAATTTCAAGATTCATCATCATCATCATTCCTCTTCGTCCCGTGTGGGACATAAGCCCACCGATTCAAGATTGGACAACCAATTTCAAGATTGGACAACCATATTTTCTATTAACTTGAGTTATTAAATAATCAAAGGTATATACTACCCGTTTTCAAATTCTCTATGTCATATTTTTATGTCGAAATATTCTGCAAAGCTACTTACCTTTTCTATTCAGACCTTGAAACGACGAATCCCTCAAATATAGCTACCTGATGTTGGTATTTCCTTCTGAAATGTCGGGAATGAATCACAATTCTTTTTTAATTAAGTTATTCAAAGGTATTCAATAGCAGATTTTTGCGGCGAATACACTTTTCCTATTGAAAGTACAATTTTTTTCTGTTCTATTCCTGTTTCATTAAATAATTAAGATCTTCATAAATCATGATAAATTTAAATATAAAAGCTCAGGAGGAAACATCGACATCAGGTACGCTTTAGATGAGACTGTTCACATTTGTTTTCACATACTTTCTTGAATATTTTCGCCACACAATAATCATCTGTATACAGCAAAATATTTGCTATTTTTATAATAAATGCAACCTTTATAGTAACTAATTTAAATTGATTTTATTCAAGAAATCAAAGAAATCTATACACTGTTTGAACAATCCAAACAGCTTGTGTATTAGAGAGAGCAAATGTTCTGATTCATCTGATGGTGTGATTTGGATCGTTCCCTGTTGAATATATCATGAATATCGATAACAACGTTGGATCATCGCTGCATTACATAATAGTCCAGCATTAGATTTCTTATTTTCTCTTAGAGCTGTGAACAATGGACTGCTGGACACATATCAGTTGAAAGCTCTGGATGCCATAATTGAAGCTCCTGCAGAAGAAGTAAACCTTCTAAAACAACCAGACGGGAAAATTCGTCTTGAATTAAGAGATAAACTTACAGGATTCCAGAGTGATAACTTCATTCATAAAGGGGTTTTCGATACGGTGGTCCGATGTACTGGTTGGACTTTTGATAAAAGCCCTTTTCACAAGTAAGTTGTGATTAGTTTTAAACACGTAAATGTTATCACCGTATGAAGCCGTTTAGTGTTTTTCAAAGAAGCATATGAATTAAATATCTGAAATCATCTCAGCACTTAATGCTTTCTACGTTATATATATATATATATATATATATATATATATATATATATATATATATATATATATAATTCAACTCATCGAGTTCAAAACATAACATTGTCCAGTATCATGCCAACTACAATTTTGAGTCAATACTAGCCCTTTAAATGTAAAAACATATGTAGCTATATTGATGCATCAGTTGATGAAATAAAATTATAATGGAGCAGATGGCAAACACTCTTGTACAGTATATATGTGCACTCTTGTGAAAGGGTTGTAAAACTTTTTTTAAGTTCGACCATCCCAGAAATGGGAAGAGGGCGTAAGAAGAAGTATCCAAACACAGATAGCACATACGAGTCCACGAACATCCCTGGTCTGTTTTTTGCCGGCACCAACGCGCACTCTGTGGACTTCAGGAAGTCAGCTGGAGGCTTTATACATGGATTCAGATACACAGGTGAGGCAGATTAACTTTTAGGGCCTAATAAATTTAAACACTTACGGTAAAAACTAACCAACATGGGCTGTGGGGTAATATTTTTCTATATTTTAAATATTCATTGTTTCCAGCCAGAACGCTGTACCACTATCTAGAGCACCGCAACCATGGTGTTGAGTGGCCGTCTATAAAAGCACCCATCACAGAACTTTTGGATAGGATACTGAAGAGGATTAATGAAGCCTCTGGAATATACCAAATGTTTCAAGTTCTTGGAGACGTTATTTTACTTAAGAAGTAAGTACTTTTCAATTGATTTGCTTCTGGAATCGTTAACTTTTAGTTCTAGAGAATATAGATTTGGTAAATTTATAGACTACTAACCTACTTGTTAATCGTAGCTTTTTGAAAAAAAATGTTTAAAAGGTAATTGCACCAATAAAATTGGTAGGAAAGGTAGGTTTAGGGCCTACATCTCTGCTGTCGATGCTTGGAAAATATTATCCTGCAAAATAAACCATGAATACCCGGAAAACTTTTTTCATTTTAGTGGTGGCAAAGAATTTGAATACTTGGAAGAATACCCAATCAAATCTCTGCATAAACTAACCGAAGTGACCGGCAAGACCGCTGACCGTCTTCTTGTGGTGGTTCTTGAGTATGGAGCAAACTTCTCCGGGCCAGCTGCCGACGTGTTCAGAACAGATAGAGCATTAGGAGATCCAGCCACTGCTCACTTGTCAAACTTGTTGCACCCTGCACTTTATTTATATGAGAAGTTGCCTAGCGGTAGGTGTCATAATATATGGAGATGAAAAGTTAATGTAAAAAACAATTACGAGCACATAGACTAGTCATCCATTCTGACAAAACAATCATGCAATGTCGTAGGGCCTACAGTTTAAGTTAACGATTGGGGATTGTCTGTAATCATTCTTTCATGAAAAATTTTGTAACTTTTATAAACTATCCTATCATATCCCAATTTTGAAAATTAAAAAACCAAATAAGATAAACAAAATAATGATTTAAAAGTTTAAAACTTCTATAACCCTACATATTTCAGAGGAAGATATGGCGACGATTCCAAAGCACTTGACCCTCCCTCGACCAGCAAGTCTATTCTATCTTATAGATGACGCATTCATTACATGGGATGCCCCATACAGCCACATTTTTGAACTGAGACGTTTCTTGGAAAAATGTATGGACACTGACATGAGGAAGTACTTTGCCAGTTCTTGTTTTACTCTGGCCATGACGCATCAGACAGTACCATTGATGTGCCAGGAGAAATATATGCAAGGTCAAGGTCTTGTTGGAACTGAGGCTCTCCTGAATAGGGTGCGCGGAATGCTTCTGTGATAACTTCAGTAACAAAGTGCCAGTTTTGATCAAATGTTTCATCTTTAATTCAGAAAATATCTAATATATATTAATTGCACTTTGACATATATTCGTTGTTGATAAATGTAGAAACCCTTCATCCCATAACTGACAATGGGGAAATTTAGAACCTTGACACTTACAATTGTAATCAAAGATTGAAACTTAAAGGCTTAGCACACAATACTGTTTCTGAGGGGTATTTTTTCTGTATGGACCATAATAAAGGCTTTTAGAACTTTCTTAACATGATTTGAAATACTGTTGCATGTACTATTAAATAATAATAATAAACAAACATAACAATTTTAACTATCAACGTGATTTAAAAACATACATAAATTAGCATTTAATGGTATTTAAAAAGTATATCAAATCAAATAACAGTCAATAAAAACATGCTGAACCCATTTACATCAAATGACTCATGTATGATACATCAAATAAGAATAATTGGAGTTAAAAAAGGAGTTGCTGCAATAAGCACATCACAATTATAAGACACAATACTGATAGATAAAGACATATCTTAATAAAACTTGTCCTGTACATGAAGGAAATGAAAGGGATTGGTTTTACTCAATCATCGAATATTCACAATATATCCTTGAAAAAATTAGCATTGCACATTATTAATGGGCATAAAATAAAACCATTTCAAACATGCAAGATTAACTTTCCAATTTAAACTGAGAACATTACTTCAGAAATACAACTAGATTATATACTCAAAGTATTCAAATGAAACTGACTGAACATGTTTCCTACAACAATGTTTTATCTTTATGAAGAAAATGGATCATAAAGTTCAGAAAAGTGAGCAAAGCTCATATCAGTTAATTTGTTCTGTGAGTGGCTCAATCTCAACATAAAAGCTGTCTTCCACTTAAACCAGGCCAGCATCCCTGGCCATACCATAAAACATAGACTTCTTGTTCATCAGAAGAGCACTGGGTGTGTCATACTCCTTCAGGGCACCACCATCCAAAACTAACACTCTGAAAAACAATTCAACAGTCTGTCAATAAGATAAAGTTCAAGAAGAAAAAAATTTGAATGATAAGATTGTGTCATAAAAAACAGACCTACAAAGGGATACAAGTGTCTGAAGCAAAAGGAACCTCTCTTACATACTGCCTTTTGCCTCTGATAAACATCACTTTAAAATCCCTCATAAATTTCCTTATTCAACAGTGACCCATTCCATGATTGTTTTAAGTCTTTAAAGCTCATATTTTAATATGTACCTATCATAATCCATGATTGTATTAAGTCTGTGAGCAATGGTGAGGACTGTGCACTCCTTGAATTCTGTTCTTATTGTGGATTGGATTAGATCATCTGTTTCCATGTCAACAGCAGCGGTGGCTTCATCTAAAACAAGGATCTTAGTCTTTCTCAGCAGAGCTCTGCCCAAGCACACTAGCTGCCTTTGGCCAACACTGCAATTAGAGAATGAACATTGCAATTCTTTCATCCAAATGTCTTCTACCTTTGTTGAGCTTTAAATATACTAAGCATTTATACTATGTACAACAAAAACATTTTCAGAGTTGTTTTAGACATAGTTGTTTATGACATGTAAAAATATGAAATTTTTTGGACAAATTCAAATGTTGAGTCAGATTGGAAATTAAAATATACAGAAAAAGAGGGGGGTATACAAAAATCCTGTACACAAACCACTGAAATGCCATCCCAATATAAGCTATTTCTACACAGCTAAGCCAGTACTCACTCTTGCATACTTCCCTTTTTCTCTAGACCTGTATTAAATTAAATTAATAAGATACCTTAAATTTTCTCCCCCTTCAGTGCACTCATGTTCCAGTAATTGTGGCAGAGAGCTGACATAACCCTTTAAATGAGAATGCTCCAGCGCATTCCATATATCATTGTCAGTGTACTGGTCAAATGGGTCAAGGTTCATTCTTAAGGTGCCTGAGAACAATACTGGGTCCTGAAGTGGACATAACAACATTAAAGGTCTGTCTATGCAACAAACTATACCACATGCCAATATAAAACAAATAGCCCTTGTTACAAAAAATTACATATAATGTTTTCTCAAAAAGTTTCAGTTATAAACCATTTATCATTTAAATGAAAGGATAAGTGTGCAATAAGATGGAAATAATGGGTAGATCTATCTATCTATCTTTCTGGTTTAAATGATTCCTTAACATATTGGTTTGAAATAAGCAACTTACAAAATACAAAAATAATTCCAAATTATAGCAATGGTGCAAATGTCGAGGGTTATTAGTTGCAATCCTTCTGTGAGCATATAAGATTTAAATACAGTCTACCTGTGGAATGATTGTGACTTTCTGTCTCAACTGATGCAATCCTAGGTCAGCAATGTTGATCCCATCTATCACAATGCTCCCTGCAGCAGCCTCAATTATTCTGAACAATGCCAGGGTTAGGGAAGACTTGCCAGCTCCTGTGCGGCCAACTATTCCTACCTGTAATAACAGGTTTAGCAAAAACAACTGGTAGCACCATGCGATACTGTATTAACTTTCTGCTTTTTTTCACTTTAAATTTAAAAACTGAAATATTTTTAAATGATGTATTCAATCAATGAAAAATTATTTTTGTGTAAAAATAATGATAAAATTATTTGATGTAATTGTTGGAAGTGTTAAGCATACCTTTTCTCCAGGATGCACCTCACAATTAATATCCCTAAGCACCAGGTCCAGACCAGGCCTGTACCTCAAACTGAACTGGTTGAACACCACTTTACCCTGCTGAGGCCACTCAGGGGGTGGACGGTTGTGGTTAAGGTCCCAGGGGGCCTGTAACACAACATATTCAATCGTAAATTTTCAGGACTTAAAGTATCAAAAACAATTTAGAACTAACCTCAAATATCTTATCTTATTATTTAACTAAAACTGAAATGCTCATAGATGGACCACATAATCATTCTTGATTTTGAAAATTAAATAAATTGCCCATTAAAGTGAACAATCTAATTGAATTTTTAAATAAGCCCTATTAAGCCCTATTCACTCTTAAAATAGAGAATGGAGATTGTGACTAATTCTGTTATACTCTTTCCATCAGTAATGTGTAAGGATAAGATGGGCACCTACCCAAAAGAAAATCATATTGTATTCATATGGGTGAAGTCATGGTGGGAATAGACTTCAGAAACAGAAAAAATAATATTTCAAAAGAGAGTAAACCAGATGACCCACCTCACTGTCTAGTTCAGAGTACTCCTTTATCCTCTCTACTGCCACAATTTGGGTCTCAAAGTCACAGCTCATCCTCACCATGTAGTTCAGGGAGGCTGTCACCTGTAGGGGGATGTACGTGTGTAAAATAATGCTTCTTAAATTGATTTTGTAGAGAGACTAGTACAATACTGAAAGATTTTTCTTTTTGGTACTTTACAAATGGAAATTATGTGGGTGATCTGCAGATTTTCCCTTTCCAAGTTGATCACAAAGACAGAAAATGATTGATGTATCTGAAAATAAACTAAAACTTTTAAACCTGCAAAACGTGAGCTTGTAGAGAGTTTTACATATATATTTTCCACACAAATACTGCCAAACAATTAAATTATCAACTGAAGATAGTCTTAAAATCTGAGGACAAGGAGTAGAGTGCTTACCTGTAGAGCAAAAGACACAGAGAGGCCCACTTCCCCTGATGTGATCCCTGCATCACTCTCTCTGGCAATAACAGCAAATAGAGATGCAAACAACACTATGAATGAACCAATGGTTTCCAAGCCAACCCCCAACCACCTACAGGGAAAGAAGAAACTTTTAAGGGGAAAAGAGTTTAACTTGCTTCAAACATCCTTGTCCAAAATTACTCTCCTGCACTGAAGCACATCTGTGTGGTCTTTGGTTCTTCAGACATCATTCTATATACAAAACAAACAAACAAACAAACATTTTAAAAAGCCCACAGATTTAACAATGCAATAACCTTTTTTCAAATCTGTGTCTCCCTAATTCTTTAATGGGAGAGCAGAAAGAAATATCCAGTTGATGCTATATTGCCCCTTGCATGTCTTTTCCATTTGAGTACTCTTATTAGGCTGGCAAAGAAGCCAATATGCACAGAGTGTCTGAAAATCAACTGGGCTGGTGTCACAAATAATTTCAATTCCTAACAATAAACTGATCTTCCCTTCAAAATAATCCCCTTGGAGCCACTTTCCCATCCTTCTCTGCCATGCTTCTATCCACTGCTGACAGGTGTCTTTTAGAACATGCCACTTAGCCCCTTTGTTACAGTAATCTTGATAAGCCCCAGGCCTTTAAAATGGATCCCCTAGATTACTCTCTTGAGCTTGGGAAAAAGAAAAGTCATACTGAACAAGATCAGGTGAATAAGAGCACCACCAGCCTTCTGGAGCAACCTCCTCTTTACCTGACCTTGCTGTGTGACTTTTTCTTACCTATTAGAAGTGATATATGGGAACCATGCCATCTGGTTTTCATCCACCATTCTGTCTGTGGTCTGTATGAATCGCTCCTGCTGTCTGAAGGCTCTGATAGAGCTTGCTCCAACTATTGTCTCGCCAAAGTGGGAATATATAGGGGACCTCTTAAGGGAATCAATTCTTTGCAGTTGTCTAACTGTTGCAACGTAAAACCTCTGCAACAGATTAACAATATTATAACATACACATCTTTGTCATATATTAATTGTTATCATTATCAGAAATATGCACATATAATAATATGTTATAAAATAAATGGGACAGCTCCGAGTCTTTGAGATCACCTGAAAATGTTGGTCAAAGAAAAATAAATTTCTCAAACCATCAAAGAAACCAAAATTTAAAAACTACAAACATATTTAGATATATATGTACATATATCAACCTATCAAAAACCCTACCTGCACAAAATAGTACAATATTCCCAGTGGTACAATGACCACTATGAACAAAGGTGTACTGTAAGTGATGACCACCAGAGTTGAGATGACACTGGCCAGAGTGGCCAGAAATATCCTCATGGTCATTGGAATAGTGATGTCCACTGTGTCCATGTCTTTGGAGAAACGATTCACTATCCGACCTAAACACACATGGAAAAAGTTCTTTGACTTATCTGATTGCTTAACAAAACTCATTCTGCCATGTGGCTATAGAAAAAAATCACATCTTGTCACACTTGATTATGCCTTTATAAAACATTTCAGATTACAAATACTTTGAGTTCCTGTCTAGATGTAGATCTTGTATCTTAACTGGGCCAAGCAGTTGATTCTTATAAAGGATTTGTGTGACGGGCATATCAAATTCATGGACACACAACACACTTCGTCAAATCCGGAGGCCATACCTACCTAGAGGTGTAGTATCAAAGAAAGCCATGGGTGTCTTCATAATACACTTGAGTATTCCACTGTGGAGGATATCAGAGGCACATATACAACCAGTGGCAATGGACAGAGACTCTATCAGGACAAACAAAGCTGGAAAAAAATAAGTGGTGCAGAATCTACACAGCTGTCTCTCTTATGTATATATACAAGATTGTGTGATTCAATCATCATAGGCCCAACAAGATTCCCTTTCATCAAGGTTCCATTCAAGAGGAGAATGTGACAATCTAGACATCACATGGTTTTCGAAACTTTAACTACACTGGGTGTATTCTCTTTGTTGGCTTATGCTACTGACATGGCTCAGTTCATGGTCTTACTGAAACTGCTAAATTTGACCTAAAACCTTCTACCTACATGTACCTGGACTTTGTTCAACCTACCTTGTCCTCCACCTAATGCTCCATACACCCCAAGTCTTAGGTCGGTCAGAGACCTGTCCTGAGTATTGTTAATGACTTGGTCATTGCTCCATATGTTTAGCCATATATTGGAGCCAATCATGCAACCCACAAATCCTATGTAACTGAACACAGTGGTAAAGAATGCCACCATACCCAGAGCCTTCATGTAGGCAACAATTACAGCAAAGCTCACCTGGGAAAAGATGATGAGAAAAATCAGTTTCAATGGTGATTTATCAGTTAATAACACGTCTTTATCAATTATATAAAAATACAAAATATTGTACAGTAGGTCTTACAACATTCCCCCTTACGACAATTCCTCAGTGATCCTGCATAATGCTTTATGTTGAAAAAAGTTCATGTTTGATAAAACACAACACAGGGCCCAGTTTCATAAATGATGTTTAGCATTAACCAGTGTATAAGCCTAACCAGTGGATAAATTTTCCTAACACCCATTAACTAAAAGATGGTTAAAATTGCGTTTCATTAACAGTGTTTATATTAAACAGCCAATTAGTTAACTGGCCAGTGTTTAACTGGATAAAACATTTAAATGTCAGTTAACTAAACGACTGTTTAAACACAGTACTAAAACACTGTCCATTTTAATTAGTATGCAACATCCTTTAGGTGTTACTGATTTGTTCTGTTAGATAAAATAGCATACAGTAGTCTCTGTCAGACACTGATTCCACACAGTTACTTTTTCAAAAAAATTGCATACAAATAGTGCATTATCCACAGCATTACAAAATAGTGAAGACTGTTGTGAATGAATGGTACTCACAGTTCCAGTTTCTGCAAATTCATCCTGAATTAGTTTCACTCCTACTTTGGATTCCCTCTTAATGTGAAGAGACTCCTCTACAGATTTACTCCTTGATGTGGTCCTGGCCCTGCTGATGTAGACAATAATAACATGTGAATTTTTGACCACAAACATTATAAATTGCGAACCTAAAGTTGCTAATGGATATATGGATTATGCAGGTTACATTTTACTTAAAGAATAAAAAATATACAGAAGCAGAGAAGCCATTTTTGCTCATTAAAATTAATTAAAAATTTTTGGTTTGAAAAGGAGAAAAAAATAAGATAAAAAGAATAAAGTTACATATGTCATTCAAACAAATAACAAACCTAGTCTACCCTTTCAATTAATTGCTCCCTTACCTCTTTTTCCGTCCTGATGATGTGAAAGGAGACTTTCCTCGTTCTAATTCACTATCTCCACCACTCTCTTCTCCTGACAGGATGGATATCTGGCGCCTGAGCTGGGCCTTCATTTCACTAGCTAAAACAGTACAAACAGAGCCATATATTGTGATATCACTCATCATTCATATAAAGCACACATTTGTCCTCAAATTATCCAATCATTAAAATGAAAATTATTACTTTAAAGTAAAAATTTAAATTATTTTTTAATAATGCAAACCATGAGAATGAACAAGGGTATTTTTTATCAAATAAAGTTTTTTTTGATGGTAAACATTACTTGCTACTACTTAACCTAGAAAAGACTTTTTATGACATAGGGTCAAGTGAAATGCATGAAACATACTACTCAGTTTGTGCCAAATAGTGTCAAAAGATGGTTTTAAAAAAGAACCGAAAACATATCTTTAAAAAAATTATTATTATTATTATTATTATTATTATTATTATTATCAGTAATATCCAATGTTCAAAATACTTATACATCATTAGCTCTAGAAAATTAAAACTTGGAGAGGCTCATAATACTATGAAATGACCATAAATTAAATATACTAGCCTAAAGATTTGTCCCTTTAATAATAGCATTATATGTTGTAAATACAATACAGACATTGAAATATAGTAAATTTTACCTTTTCTAATGTCAAACTTAAAACTCACTTTCTTCATCATCTTCACTTTCCGATGATTCTTCTTCTGCATTAAGATAAGTCTTAATGAACTCAGAAAAGGCGCCATTATGACTCAGCAATTCTTGATATGTACCAATCTCGGAGATCTCTCCACTAGACAGTACTATGATTTTGTCCACTTTAGGCAGGCAGCTGATACTGTTAGTGCATAGTATTCTGGTCTGAAGTGTCATATGAACATAATATTGAATTCCCTGGGGCTAGTCTGGTCCATGTACAAAGATGATAATGCACAAAGTAAATAAGTACAGGTGATCTCCAAGTCAACTTTTCAACTGGAGGTTTAAATCTGAATATATATAATATATACTGCACACAATATCAATAATTCAAATTTAAACCACACATGCATCTCTATTCAACTAAGCCTAAAGAGCCATAAACAAGTATCACAACAGATATCACACAGAATTGAGGGAGCAAAAAAAAAAAAAAAAAAAAAAAAAACTGACAATATGTCTACCTTAGATTTCAGCATTCCCTGAGGTCCTATCACTTCATTAAAGATGTGCTTGCCAACATGGCTGTCCACAGCACTGAGAGGGTCGTCCAGAAGGTAGACATCACAGTCCTGGTAAACAGCTCTGGCCACACTGACACGCTGTTTCTGACCTCCGCTCAAGTTGATACCCTGGAAATGTTAACAACTGAGTCTTTAACTGCAATTTACTAAAATTAAAAAAATAACAGAAATAAAAAAAATAAAAAATTGCAAATTTAAAAGAAGTTTTAAAAAATCTGTGACAAAATTAAATAAAAAAAATACAATATGAATGAATATACTTTTTACAAATTTATCAAATCAATCTAACCTTCTCTCCAATCTCTGTCTGATCCCCTCCGGGTAAAATTTTCAGGTCAGGTTCTAGGGCACAGCTGCTGAGACATTTTTTATACAGTGTTTCATTTAACTTTTTTCCAAATAGGATGTTATTTTTAACTGTCTGGTTCTGAATCCAGGCTTGCTGAGCCACATATGCCACTGAACCCTGGGGTATACATAGTAAAACACATGTGATGTATAAACTCTGTCTTAACCAAATTCATCATAGCAGCTTTGATAAGGTACAATCACTATAGACTAATGAATATATCAAATGAATAAAAAAAAAACTCAATTTTAAAAATATTATCTAAAAAATTCAACAAGATTTCTTTTATTACATGATATGTCCCTGGCTCATTTTATTGTGTGGAGAAAATAGAACCATCATTCATAACCAAAAAACACCTTGACTTGTCCAAGTATCATTACTTTGAATAATATTACCTTCACATTAACAGTGCCCTGAAGCCTGTCCATTTCTCCCATGATAGCTTCTATGAGCGAGGACTTCCCACTTCCCACCTGTCCTACCACAGCCACCAGGCTGCCAGGGTCTACGTGAATATCAATACTGGAACATGGACAGTAGTTTAATCAGTATCCATATGTATATTACAATATCCATTTTATCCAAACATCTTAATTATTACAAAATATGAATATATTACTAGGGATACCCAAATCCCACTACTAATTGTACTTCAGAAAATACAAAGACTCAAATAGATTTGCTGTCTGTTTTGAGTAAGCAAACTGACAATATTCTTAGGAATCATCATATTAAACAGTGTTGAATATTTTTACTAATATGTTCTCAGCAATAAATACAATCTTTTAATAAATTAAAAAGACAGAGTTGCTTATCAACATATATGACTCACTTTCTGAGGATAGGAACTTCCTTTTTGCCCCAAGCAAATGAGGCATTGTCCACTGACACTGCATGCTCTTAAATAAACAATAAAAAAAATACAAAAATAAAAAATACATACAAGATAAGGGTGCTAACAAACATACAAAGAATATGATTTCATGTAACTTTGTTTAGAAAATAAATAAAGAAAAAGAGCATCATAGGCCAAAGGTCATATAATTATTTAAAGGTTTCAGTACTTTGCAACTGTAGATTTCTGCTGCTATGATAATTTACACTTGACAAACACATTGGGAGATTGCAATATTTGTTAACAAACCTCTGATGTTTGATCTTTCAACTGAATTTGGATCCACTTCATCCTCTTTCAAAAACCTTCCGATTCTTGCAACGGAAACAACAGCCTACAATTAAGTTAAGTTTTTCTGCATCAATTTAACAAAAAGCTACAATAAATTGCCATTAATTATAACATATAACTTATGTCAGATTGTGATGGCTAAAGCAACAACACATAAAGACACTGGTCACATTGTGTCAAAAATAAAAANAAAAAAAAAAAAAAACTGACAATATGTCTACCTTAGATTTCAGCATTCCCTGAGGTCCTATCACTTCATTAAAGATGTGCTTGCCAACATGGCTGTCCACAGCACTGAGAGGGTCGTCCAGAAGGTAGACATCACAGTCCTGGTAAACAGCTCTGGCCACACTGACACGCTGTTTCTGACCTCCGCTCAAGTTGATACCCTGGAAATGTTAACAACTGAGTCTTTAACTGCAATTTACTAAAATTAAAAAAATAACAGAAATAAAAAAAATAAAAAATTGCAAATTTAAAAGAAGTTTTAAAAAATCTGTGACAAAATTAAATAAAAAAAATACAATATGAATGAATATACTTTTTACAAATTTATCAAATCAATCTAACCTTCTCTCCAATCTCTGTCTGATCCCCTCCGGGTAAAATTTTCAGGTCAGGTTCTAGGGCACAGCTGCTGAGACATTTTTTATACAGTGTTTCATTTAACTTTTTTCCAAATAGGATGTTATTTTTAACTGTCTGGTTCTGAATCCAGGCTTGCTGAGCCACATATGCCACTGAACCCTGGGGTATACATAGTAAAACACATGTGATGTATAAACTCTGTCTTAACCAAATTCATCATAGCAGCTTTGATAAGGTACAATCACTATAGACTAATGAATATATCAAATGAATAAAAAAAAAACTCAATTTTAAAAATATTATCTAAAAAATTCAACAAGATTTCTTTTATTACATGATATGTCCCTGGCTCATTTTATTGTGTGGAGAAAATAGAACCATCATTCATAACCAAAAAACACCTTGACTTGTCCAAGTATCATTACTTTGAATAATATTACCTTCACATTAACAGTGCCCTGAAGCCTGTCCATTTCTCCCATGATAGCTTCTATGAGCGAGGACTTCCCACTTCCCACCTGTCCTACCACAGCCACCAGGCTGCCAGGGTCTACGTGAATATCAATACTGGAACATGGACAGTAGTTTAATCAGTATCCATATGTATATTACAATATCCATTTTATCCAAACATCTTAATTATTACAAAATATGAATATATAACTAGGGATACCCAAATCCCACTACTAATTGTACTTCAGAAAATACAAAGACTCAAATAGATTTGCTGTCTGTTTTGAGTAAGCAAACTGACAATATTCTTAGGAATCATCATATTAAACAGTGTTGAATATTTTTACTAATATGTTCTCAGCAATAAATACAATCTTTTAATAAATTAAAAAGACAGAGTTGCTTATCAACATATATGACTCACTTTCTGAGGATAGGAACTTCCTTTTTGCCCCAAGCAAATGAGGCATTGTCCACTGACACTGCATGCTCTTAAATAAACAATAAAAAAAATACAAAAATAAAAAATACATACAAGATAAGGGTGCTAACAAACATACAAAGAATATAATTTCATGTAACTTTGTTTAGAAAATAAATAAAGAAAAAGAGCATCATAGGCCAAAGGTCATATAATTATTTAAAGGTTTCAGTACTTTGCAACTGTAGATTTCTGCTGCTATGATAATTTACACTTGACAAACACATTGGGAGATTGCAATATTTGTTAACAAACCTCTGATGTTTGATCTTTCAACTGAATTTGGATCCACTTCATCCTCTTTCAAAAACCTTCCGATTCTTGCAACGGAAACAACAGCCTACAATTAAGTTAAGTTTTTCTGCATCAATTTAACAAAAAGCTACAATAAATTGCCATTAATTATAACATATAACTTATGTCAGATTGTGATGGCTAAAGCAACAACACATAAAGACACTGGTCACATTGTGTCAAAAATAAAAAAGGAACTTATATTTCAATTGTCAGACGTTATTATACAATATAAAATAATGAGAGAGAAAGAGAGAGAGAGAGAGAGAGAGAGAGAGAGAGAGAGAGAGAGAGAGAGAGAGAGAGTAGAACTATGGTTAAAATTTAAAAAATATAGCTGACAGCTTATTTTTGAATGAAAATTATAAAAATTTACCTGGACAGTGAAGACAATGGTCTGTGGCAGTATGGACAAAGGATAGTTTAAGATGGCAAACAGGTTAAGAGATACAAATGCGGTGTTGGCATCCAGAATGTTCCCTGGGTCGGACAGGACAAAAGTTGCAAAACTGGCTAATGCAACCTGGAACAACCAAGACACACCAAAGTTACACTCATAACTTTTTTTTTTCTTCAATATATCCCACCAAAGTACAGTATACATATACATATATCCTGGGAAAAATACTTTGCATTTTTGAACTTATATTACTATATTGAGGAAATGGAAGGAAGGCTATGGGAGCTTTTGAATCAAATCTAATAAGCAATAGCATGTTAATGTGAATGCAATTTCATTGAATTGTAGTAGATAATCTTTCATATTTTAGAATGTGAAGTTTAGGAGGTTTTTTTTTTCTAATACAATCCATACAATATAATAACCTACAGACAGCCCAGTTCAAGGATGTAGTATTTTCCAATTTTTGAACAGCTTGAACTGTGTGTGTGTGTGTGTGTGTGTGTGCGTGCACGTGTTATTGCGTGTGTTGCATTAATGATCAAAAGTAAGTCACAATACTCCACTTACTGCACACGGCAGCTTTTCTTACCAGGTATGGGGCACAAAACCAGCTAATAGATGCGCTTGCATTAAGGTATGCAGCCTTTTTCAAAACTTTCAATTCTTTGTTACGTATTTCTTCAATTTTTCTTTGAAATGACGGCTCCCAAGCATACATTTTGAGCACCTAGAAAATAAGGAATGGAAAATTCAGCTATACATATACACAGGAATATTGAAGGATGTCTTTGCTATTCACCTAACCTTCTTTCCTCCATAATTTAAGATTGAAGAATCCTTTCAATTTCAAATCTTACGTGCATGTCTTTTGGAGGAAATAAGAAACCAAATATATGCCCTATAAGGATTCCAAGCCTTGAAATTCAGCAAAGCAATACAAAAAATGAGTTTACATGTTATTAATCATATTGTTCTATTCAGTGTACTCACCTTCATGCCATTCAATACTTCACTCATAATCTTAAGTCTTGTATCTTTGTACTTCATCTGAGCTACCTGGATTTTAAAAATGAAAAATTGCAATTATTATTGAATTGCAACTAAGAAGCAAACCAAATTTTCTCATACCATGTTTGCATGAAAGATTTTCTCTAAAGTTGAATCATTCTTTTGAATAGTTGTTAAAAACTAAATACTTCAATAAAAGCACAAAAAGGTTGCTTTTGTCCGAGACAGTACAGCAGACAGACTTTAAATAAAATATGAACCCATGACCTTATCATTGACAAATAAATAAATAAATAAATAAATAAATAAATAAATAAATAAATAAATAAATAAATAAATAAATAAATAAATAAATAATAACAACTGAAGGCCTGTATTAAAGATGAATTACATGACAAACATACCTGAAGCAATCTGATCTTGGTAGCTAAAAAGCCATTCACTGGTACAAGCAGTACCATAACAGCTAACCCAGCCAGAGAAGAGGGCCCAAGGATATACCACAGGAACACCAGGGCAATAGCTATGGTGAGAGGAGACACCCAGAGCATGTGTAGGTATGCTGGGACATCTTGCATTTTCTGGGCATCCACGGACATCAAATTCACAATCTCACCTACTGTGGTATTCTTTCTGGCTCCATTGCTCAGTTTCAGGGACTGCAGGTTGAGAAGTGGTGAAATTTTCAAGTAGAAAAGTCTTTATAGGCTTTATGAGATTTATATATATATGCATTGCTTTGAAAGTTTGATAATGCAAGGGTGGAAGTAAGAATCTCAAGCCACTTGAAGATTTTAGTAAAGTACAACAGTGCTTGCTATTTATGAACAATGCAACATGCTATATAGCATAAGGAGCATGGAAATGAAACAAAGAGGCAAACAAAACACAACATTAAGCACATTTAACACACCAACACAACTAACACATTCAAATGCCTAGCATGCTGACACAACTAGCACATTTATATACCTAACACAGTAACACAGTGTCACAACTAAGTGGTCACCTAATATGTGAACCCATCTTTCTTACATGTATTACCCCGTATAAAACCAGGGACAGCAAAAAGGTCACCACAATAAGACATCAACAATATATTTATCTTTTCATATTTTCTGCTGTAGCTATTTTATTATTGAATATTTCTAAAGAGTAATCAGTTTTTCTATAATACCTTAATACCTTTCTATAGACTGCAGCTATAATGGCTGACCTTGTCCTGAGTCCTGTACGAAAACATGAGTCCCAGTACTGTTGCATGATCAACGTACGAAGCAAGCTCGTGACAAACATTAAAACACCATAGAGGTAGCCCCGCCAAACAAATGGATCATTACTTTCGATAAAAGTAATGAGAGAACTGAAAAAAGATAAGCATAAACATGTGCCACAAATTCATGCAAACATGTTAGTGCAGTAGCCTAAGTAATTGCTGTAAGCCAAGTATTTTTAATAATTAAGCCAAGTGACATCTAAAGAATAAATGCATACTGAATGTATTACATGAATTCTTTAAGAAAAGCGATAGAATCCCAAAGCAAAAACTAGGCAAGGAACATGCACCATAATAAACATAAAAGCAAAGGTATTGAACAACCCTTTTGTGACAAATGACATGTAGTTCAATAAATTACAACAAGTGAGAATTATTAAAATAAATATCTTTTCCAAACTGAAAAAGAACTAAATAGACTGCTAGACTATACAATACGCTCACAAATTTTAACTAACAGACTAAATGCACACTTTCAGGACAGACAAATGCAACGACAATAAATTAATATTAAAACCTTTCAACAATTTCACATCAACACAAAGGTTTTATCTATCAGAAACACAAAAAGAATTCTTATCTTTCTTGAACATGTGATTTAAATGTAAGAGTGTCTTAACCTATGGGTTCAACTGGTATAATAACTTACTCGAGAAGAAGCGGGTTCACGAATGTCAAAACAGTATATATGAGATTCATGAAGCCACCATATGCAAAATATGCGCCAAATGTTCTAACCAGAGCCTTGGTCAGACTGGGTTGACTGCTTGAACTAGATTGTGAGTATCCTGCCACAGGCTCAGTGCGCTCTCCCGCCCAACCATAGGTGGTGTCATCATCATCTGGTATCCTTAGAGACGTGCCACTGGCAGTGTATTTGTATACAGGAGTTCTGGAAATCAGGTTGTAAGGGCCACTACTGACTCAAGTATATTCATACATTTCAATTTAATTCTTTTCTTAATTTAAAAAATGCAACTTTCCAAGGAATGAACTAATACCATCCACATTAACTTGCCATTAATTATATCACATTTGAATAAGTATTTATAAAGAGCAATACAAGTCAATACTCATGTGACTTAAAGAAGACATTTTATTAAAAAACATACCACCATTTTAAAAAATGACATTTCAAAGACACTTAATATTTATAATCCTAGAATCATGCTTACCGTTGTATTTTCATCATTTCTTTATTCCATTCTCTTAGGAACCTTGGGACAATCACAGCACAAGATTCTTCTGGTAATAACTTGGTAAGATCCTTAAATTCCAATGGACGTCTATAGCCTGTGATGACAAGTCTGAAAACAAAAAGTTTAAATTATGCATGCTGCTATCTTTAATATTTTATCTACTGGCCGGGAAGTGAGTTTAATCAAAGCCTTTCGAATTATGTTTAAAAGAGATGTGATTTTATTGAGGTGAAAATGGCTTATCTTGTTGTATAACCTTTAAAGGAGCTGTTACAGGTAGCATTTCAAATATTGACAATCCTAAAAGCATAAGCATAAAACAAGTTCAAAAACTAGGACAGTATCATGAGAGATTGAGTATGTGTGAACTACTTGTTCTTGATACTGATAACAAATTTCAGTGGCAACAAGAATAACTTTAGTTTGAAGATACAGCATGACACAGCAATAAAATTGGGGTTTTCAAGGATAAAGAACCATTTTTACAAATTCAACAGACATCTAGTATACTGCTTCATACATGTAGCAGCAGTGTTGAAAGACCTAAGACCTTTCCCACTATTTCCACAAGTTAACTGTTGAATGTCTTCTAAAAATTAGATCTCATCTATTATGCAACTAACTTTATATCATTTGCTTACTTTGTTATCCATCCAAATGTTAGCCTCATAAGGAATGATGATTTAAGTTCAGGACAAGGTTTCTGAAAAAGGATATAAAATATGCCTCAATTACAAAATTTTTCAATGTTTAATTATATGAAATGTTAAGCAGATGCAATTCTTTGTAGAATGTTTAAAGAAAAAAGTAGTTTTAATACTCATTTTCGTATTTCATTCAGCTCTACTTTCACCTTAGTTTATAGTGCAACAAAACATGGAATATAAAAAGCCATGCAACATACTCTATTTTCATTTGAGTCTTCTTTGTCTGTTTTTTGGTCGGACAAAAGTGGCTGTCGCTCTGGTGATATCAATCTGGAATCTGGAAGAGCTGCAGTGTCTGCCCACAAGTGGAGAATAAACTCCAGGACAACAAATGCAAAGTAGATGAAAAATGTCACTGCTTTGAACACACTCACCCCTTCCTGAAAATAATGGGTTCAAAATATAATAAGCAAATCCTTCGTTTTTTTCTTTTTTTGTCAATTCAAATTTAAATGTTCATGTTACTTAATCAAACAATTCAAACTAATAAATCTTAACACAGATTACTTATCAGTAAATTAAGTTAGGTGTGCCATATAGTAAAAAAAACTTTATTAAAGGCTACATTCAGATCACTTTATCATTGAATGAAATACACTAATGTAGGTTTAAATATTAAACCTACCACTTGTTGGAGCTGGATAATCTTGGATCTAAATGACACAATTCCGGTAAGAAGTAACAGAAACCAGAACAAGAACAAAACACCTGATGACAATATTCCTTTCCTGAATTCATAGCTGATCAGAAAAGCTGACAAAGCCTAAAAGATTGAAAAGAGAAATGCCAGTGATATGAAAGAAACTTGAAAGACCTCTTTGAAGGCCTCAAATAATACTAGCATCATATAACTATCATATCTAATCACTGAGAAAGTAAATGATCAATTTTAAATGAGGAGTTCAGATTATACAAATACTTGTAGCCAGGAATATATGACTGCATTCAGATTCAAATATCATACAAGCACAGTTAGTCCAACTCTGCAGGAGTATTCCTGCCAAAGTGCTGCTAGAGGTTATTAGCTTCCGAGTTAGCTTGGCTTAATTACTTCCTATAGCCGCTCAAGGAGGCATTTCAGACAATTAAGCTGCTCCCACTGATTGCACTTAGAGAGAACCCCCCCCAGAGTTAGACCTGCCCAACTGATATGATGTCTGAATCTGAATGTGCTCTTTGTCCCCTTAAAACATCAATTACTTTTAATGAGAAAATGTAAATCACACTTATACATTGTAGTAAAAACATTTTTAGTTGGATTTTATAGTGTTGTGTCTTGTCAAGTCTTAGATTTAAAGAGAATACATATTTCAAAAACACCAACATACAAATATAAATCCAATGTCAAACTTTTGAGGAAGTGAACTTACAAATGTGATAAAATATACACTTGGTGCTACGAAGTACACATGTGGTGGATGCGATGATATTTCACCAACTGTCTTGAAAAAATCCATCAAGACTACAAAGCATAGCAAGATAGACAGGACCTGAAAATAAAACAAAAAGATGAAATAGCATAACTGCATGTGCATATCTCTGTATTACATTCTAACACACCATTTTTAGGAATCATTATTATTATCATTACATTATTATCATTAAAGTATGTTGCCATCAAAAACAGATACATTTATACCTTTGACTCGTGTTTCCATCAAAAATACACTTTATGAGGTACATAACTGAACTGCATGCATATTGGTTTGAATTTATAAATGTGTCTTTCACTAACCAGCTTAGTAAGATTGAGTTTTCCTGCATGAGAACACCTGTTGACAACTGGTTTTCCTTTCAGAGAAGGGATGTAGAACAGTGAACACAGCCATAAAAACCCACATGGAACCCACACAAATACTGTGTCCTGGAAGCACTGGGTGAAGTCTGGATTACTGGTGTCTACCGTGAGATTGTTGCTCTGAAAAACAAAAGAGAGAAGATCATGCTATATTCCACTACATGTACTTAGATTTTTTGGTGTTATTTATTTTAATACTGGGGTATATAAAATCTAAATCCCCTTGTTCACACCTACTGGTACTGCTTGATTCTGCAAATGCTTACATACAATCTTCTACTGTATGGTTTACATGTATATAATCAAGTCAGCACAAATACAAATAGCTAATCGGAAAGTGACAGTAGATTTCTCGAAGTATTCAGTTTTAAATTAGCAAGCACAAAAACTCTCCAATCAGGGTGTACTACAGTACATGTGCACTTACCCAAAATGCAGAGTACTGGTTTTGACTCCCACAGAATTGGTCCCAGTAAATATCCTCCATGGTCCCAGACACAGTGCTGTGCCAGTGGCTCACGCTTATATCAATAAAGCTCAGGTGAAAAAACAGGATAAAACATGCACACTCGACGCTCTCAACCAAACTCAAACTCCTCTCGAATGTAAGCGAACAAGGCAACGGAAAAGTGTATGTAACATATCAACATGAAGACGGCCAGACCAAAGATAATAACTTCATCCCAATGAGTTATGTGACCGGACTGTAGAACCGGTACTCCTACTTGATAGCAAAGGTTCAAAGTCATATTGTCATTATTGATTAACGATAACGGCGTGAACAAGAAGACGTCCCAGTTTTGTTATGCCTCAACGGGGCCGGCAGGTCATCTGGCAGGGGGCTGGCTTTTTCTTCCTAAAAAGTTTTCTGGAACAAGTAAAATCGTGCAGTTTCAGTATCAGTGCAATCTTGATTATTGTATAATAACATGTATTATCACAATACAGATTCATTACACTGTCCATTCAAGAGAGAAATGTTGCTGAACCCCAGCTGGCCTCTTCGCCGGGTGTTGTGTTCTCACAGGCACCTGCGCGTTGACCTATTTTTGTTAACTATTTATAGTAACAGCAGCACGTGCTTCAAGTTCGCAAAATCCACATGCACCAGTGCCGATAAATCCCTCGTTTATTCAGGCCAAATCAGATAAAAGGCACATTTCCAGGCCTGTATGATGACAGTGTCAAAAGGGGTGGAGGTGGGGGAGGGTACTTTTTCTGAGCAGTAGACTTTTTCACACCCTTAAACCCAACTAGAGAAATAGGACCGAACCTACGGTTTATGTACCGGTTAGTAGACAAAAAGGATTTAACATGACCTATGTCAAGGACTTTTTGTTGGAACTCCTTGGTTATGTTGAATCCTAGACTAGTGGTACGTACTGTGGGCTATTTAATGCCGTTCGACCCACTTTGATCGATTAATTAAAGATCCTATAGGCCTATACCAAAGAGGAAGAATTTGGAATATCATACAAGTCCACAATATTTTTTTAAATCCGATTAAAGTCTGTTAATTAATTTTAAAGGATTTTATCATTTTTTAGAAATAAAATTTCAATATATACGTCATAGAAGACAATAAACTAGACCTAGTAGGGGTTCTACTGTATACAGTACATGTTTAACTCAGAACGGACTTCTAATTTCTGAGTAGCACAGGTTAGGCCCTACTTGACCGTCAGTTTAGTGTTTCAGATGTTTTAAATAACTTTGTATTTTGCCAACTATCTTGAATATTTCAACATTAAAATGCTACATATGTACGCATTCATCTTTTTATAAAAATACAAAAAAAAAAAAAAAACTGTATATGATAAAAATGATCATTTAAATACTAGCCCCGACAGTCTGTAAAACATAAGCTAATTAACATTTTGGCATTTTTTATTACTTTCCTCCATCAAAAAAAAAAAAAAAAATCAACTCAAGAAATAGAAAATGCACCCCTCTCTTTTATTAATCTCTTCTGTCATAAACTGCATGGACTCTTAAAAATGAAATGCAGCTGTGTCTTGGGCCGTAGATTCTTTAAAAATTGTCCCTACATTAAATATTATGTCATTTATCTTACACTTCGGCCAAGGTACATGTGAAGCGTGGGCGGAATGCGATAATGTTGCTTTCACTTGCCACATTTTTTACTTCACGTTTCGCTGTAAATCATGGATCTTGTCTTGATTATGCCCGAACTAGATCTGTCATATATCACTAGGACTGCTAAATTGCTACAGTCCAATAAAACGGCAATTCCCTGGTGTCAAATAGGTCTACAATGTGTAGCATTTATTTTATTTTGGTTTGCCAGACTTACATGATAATCTGTGAGATTATTGTTCGATTCGTAAATCGTAAATCGATTCGATTCGTAAATCAATTTTTTGGGTGTGTGGCGGTACACAGTCATATAAATGCACGCTAGATTAACGGTTCCTATGACAACTTTCACCAGTAACTAGGGGCTATATGTATGTATCATATACAAAGTTGTCCTACACTTGGCAATTAGCTAATAATAGGAAAATCACTTTAAGACGAAGGGGGCGAATTGCTGTATCATACTTTTTAAATTACTGTATTACACCATACACGTTTTCGATACTTTTCCCTAAATGTGCATCTTTAACTTTATCGTTTCCATTTTTTCTGTTTAATGACTATGGATAAACAGAAAGGAAAAATATTTTCCAGAGCAATGTTTGAGTTTTGTTCATTTTCGTTTTAAATACATCCCCATCTTTGGAAAAAATGAACCTTCTTGCGTAATTCTGAATATTTACAGACTACAGTTCTTATGCTTTTAGAGTGTACTTTCGCCATTGAAAGTATCTCAAAGTCAATTTTTTATGTCTACATAGGCCTTTTCTACAAAGCTACTTATTTGTCCTAACTCAGACGTTTGAAATGATATAAAACCCCTCATATAAAAGTACCTGCTGTCGATATTTCCTTTTGAAATGTACAGGATGACACGGGGATCTAAGTGACTAGAGAGCCATTTATAGATCTATTATTTAATCAGAAATTTATATAAACACTAACTGCTTGAACGGGTCAAGGTATGAATTGGTGGATAGGAGAAATTTGCTTTTTGTTTTTTCGAGGAAAACTCGACTTGGCGTGATAATTCCGGATAGGATACCTTTAATGCAGTTATCGTGTAAACAATGCCTATTTAAGTCACAGCCTTCAATGGTAATCAATCACTTGGTCGATCTATCTTTACATAAAATTCTGTCCCTTATGCTTTTGTGCATGGCTGTCCAGTCCGAACAGCGCCATCACAACGACAGTACTGATCAACAGGCAGTACCACATTCAGCTTCTGGTTGACAGGTTTCTTATTTCAATGTTTTTCAAAATAATATAAACCGCAATAATGCTCGGTCGACTGTGTGTCGCAGGGAAACCGCAGTTGCTCCAAGATTAACGTCGCTGTCAACCAAACCACACGAAGTAATAACTTTATGTATTGAGTGTTCCCAATCGTGTGACAGGTTCAGTGTAGCCGTTTTTCAGGCCGCTCGGGTGATAGGGAGAACGCGAGGGCGTGCTGGTCAAACTCACGATAGAACTGCAGGCTTACGCACATGTTAAGTATTGTATGAAGACGTAGGCACGGTCGCGAGAAGTTGAGCAACATACATTGTACCTACTAGTACCTGTTCAAGGAGAAATCGATTGTCACAACGGAAGTGGACACAAACGGCTTTGCCCTAGGAAGGTATCCACCTACTACCACGCAGTTCATGATACTAGTTTCACCGTAAATAAAACATAACCGAGTGAGACAGGGATTGACGTTTTTGAGGATTGTCAGACAAATCTCGTTAAAAAAATGAACTGGAGGATATTAATCTTCATATATAATTCATTCTTACTTATAGGTGAGTATTGATTCGATTTCACAGAAGAAAGTTAGTTGTTAGTAATAATGACCATCCACTCCTTCAGTGCGATACACACTAATGAGTTACTGTTGGGATCGAGACACCGGCAAGTTGACGTTTTATATCCGAATACTTCAGCTTTGTAGTTACACATACCTACAAGCATATATAGAAAACTATTCAACGGTCATACCCACTCTTTGTTGTATACAATATTTGTGTTAAGTTTATTTTCACTATTCATGTTCACTGTTAATATTCACTGTACCAGCGTATATTTATATTTATGCCCAGTGAGCTAACAATGATATCATGTAATCAAGCTGTAGACCACATCGTCTTTTATGTTATTCTCTCTTCCCTCACACAAGAGAAGGAAATGAATGCTAGTGCTTACATGTCACCAAGGGTGCTGCGAGTTTCTGTGTATATTTTAGTAAGATAGTCTTGGGCTCCCCTTTCCTCCTATGAAAATAGGGCCTAATAACTGAAGTTGTATTCCCGTAAATCCACCCCCTTAATATACTGCTTTTGAAGGAGCTTTATATATTATTACCATCGTGATAGTCAATAACTTGATTAAACCTCACATGACTCGTATCTAACTCGTGTTTATCTTTGCCCATCTTTGTCTACAGTCCGAAAAACGTTATATTTTAAAGGTGGGTCAGGCGTGGGTGACTTGAACACAATAGAATAAATTTGTTACCGCCAACTTCGTGTTTTATCATTATAAGTCAGTCCATTACTGGTTAACTTAAATATCATTGAATATCTATAGCTTTCTTGCATTGCCAAGGGACATTAAAGCATGCTATTAGTAACTAGTAAAGAAAACAGTTACAGAACCATAAGAGTCGTGAAGTATCACATAAGTGAGAATGAAAGGGTTCAGAGTAGAATGTACTCAAGAGTAGAATTTATCTTTTGGTTGTATAAATATGACTTCGTGCTTAGTAAGTACAGCTTAATAGAACCGTCGCGACTTGGGGATTTTAACGTCTACATGAGACAATAGGGATACGAGCTCTTTGTGTATTATTCATTTATTTGATACCCAGCTGGTATGAAGCCTTAATTTCGTGTTCATAAATGCCCATTTCTAAAAATATTTCGATTAATCGCTTTTGAACACAACTGATTTATACAAAACGTTGGGTTTGCGAGGTTTTCATATGATTATTTGAAATTCCACTTAATTTTCACTAGGTACGTGTTGTTTGTGGTTAGCCTGAAGGTATCTATATAAAGACCGGCAGTTATTTATGCCCATCCTCACCTGCATTTCACAAAACCACATTACTGTGTATCCGATCCGATGACAGCGTGGTGTTTATCTGATCATGTTCGTCAAGAAGAAAACATAAAAGATTGAACTTTTTAATATCAAGACTGGTGAGGATTTGTGAGGAAATTTTTACCTTGCTGAAAACCTTTTTTGATCAATCTTTACTGAAAGTGAGTAGAATGAATGCGTGTCTGACATTTTTAATGTCTATTCGGGTACATGGTGTGCTTGTAGCTTTAAAAACATTTGCTAAAGCATACCATGTTAATGTTTTGCAATGAAAATTATAATTTTCTTTTCAAACAGTTTACCCCATTCTCAATAAATCTACCTGTTAATATCCAGCAGACGGACATAGAAGGGGTGGGTTGAGTGAGGTGGAGTACCGTGGCATTTGCACCTCACCCGCCCCTTCCCCAACCCATTCCTTGATACCCTTGCTCAACCAGTAGCTATAGTGTCTCTGAGACTTTATAATGTTCAGGACCATTATTAAGTATCACAATTCAAATGTTCAGAATGCATCTTAGGCCACCTCAAAACTGTTGCCTCCCAGTGCTCATGCCACAATTTTTTAATTTTAAATGCCTTACCACTTGGACCCTCACGTCCTCGCATTTACCCCACTACTAAAATAAAACCGACACCTTTGACTGTTCCATTAATTGGTTGGTTTATTTATGATCCCTGCAAAATGCCATCATTAGCCGGCTGAGCTAATGGTAATGAAGAAAACAATTACAAGTCGTAATTTGGGAATATAAAGTAAAGTAATACTGCACACAATACGCAAGCGACACAAAAACTACCGATAGGCAGTTTTTAAGCATGCTTAGGAAAAAGGAATGGATTATTAAATGAAATCATTCATATTATCTGTCATATTATGAGATACTGTCAGTTTGATATTGTCTGTTTGAAGCATTGGGAATTGCGATGAAATTATTGCATTATCACTGATTAGAATGAATGCTGGTGTAGTCATGTAGGCCTTTGTGAAACGGACCGAAAAAGCTTCTTTCAAATCAAATCTGTCTGAATCCTTTCAATATATTTGGTGAGTCTTCGTGTTGCAGCATTGATTTATCATGAAATAAATTGAAAGAAATCATCGTCAAAGACCAAATTCAGGCTATGTCTCCAAACACTGCAATAGCATTGAGAATAATCTACTCAGTGATGAACATCAACTGTTTTGTTGAACGTTCCTTTTCACATCTCATGGGGATCAACGGCCCTTACTGAATAGCCATGGCCCAGAGAAGACTTAACTCGTTGGCATAATTAGTGTGTATTGAATTTGATTTTGTGAGACAGCTATATTTGTAGGATATCATAAAGGACCCTGTATCTTATTAATTTAGAAAGAGAACTGTTTCTGATTAAAGACATCTTTAAAGCCTGGTCTGAGGCGCTGTTAATGGAATGATCAATCACTCTAATAAACTTTAATTAGTGTTTCTTCCTGATTACTCATGGACATTCATGGTATAGTACTAGATAGTTTCTTTCTGATCACTGGAGTTCCACTTTCTTGCAATGTAGGCTAACAGTAATGGATGATGCATGACAGCATTGTAGTGGCTGTATGAACCACTGCTAGTAGAGTCGCATTGTCTTTTCTTGGTAGTTTTGTTCAAAAATGTTTCTTATATGCAATAACTTTTTTTGCTTTCTTGTGACTAATGACTTATTGTTGAGAGAGAGGTGCCATGGAAATGATGGAATAGAATCATGTTATTAGCGTTTATTATTATTATTATTATTATTATTATTATAATTATTATTATTATTATGTAACCATGTCAATCAAAGAATATTTTAGAAGTATATACACGTAGCAATGGGTGTTTTTAATGCGCAGAACAGGCTTGGCCCAAGTTACATGTTCCACTATGGGGGCACCATGGCACTGCACGGTGTTTAAGGCACCAAGAGACTTAAATCCGGCCCTGAAAGTGGCCCATTTTGGTGCATCATGGTAATTAAGCACCTGGACATACACGTACCTCTATATATTATGTACAATTTTCACATTTTCATCGAAGCAAATTTCATTATGGCAGAAATGACAGAAATCATCCTTTTATAAGCGACGAATGAAATACTTCGTTTAAGATGAGAAAATGTCAGTAAAATAAATATCACTTTTATTGATTATACTCCATATGTTCTGTACTTTACATGTGTTATTTGTACCCTGACTTGGTCTCTCTGCGAGTATCGCCCAATTCCCCGCCCTCAAAAGATCGCTTTTACTGGTAATATCGTAATTGGTATAATAATATATGATAAATACTAATGGGTTCGCTGGTAAACATGAACCATGAATACTTCTGCTCAAGCAGAAAATATATAGATCGCCATGATGCATTAACCATTATCGTTAAAATACAGAGCCTCAAGAGTAGTTATTAATTGCTTCGTTTTGTCCAGTGCTCTTATCCTTCATTTTATATTACTAAGTAGGGTTTTTTTCCAATAATTTAATTGATGATATTCACCTGTTTAAAATAGGCATAAAATATCTAAAATTAATTACACGCGTATTTAGAATTACATGTAAATGTAAATCAGAAGTCAGGGGAGGGGCTGAAACATTTTTGTTTAGTTTTTTTCTTCTTTTCCCAGGTCGTCTTAGTGCATTTGAAAAACAACTTTTTAGAAATATTTCATGTGTTTTGTGATTTGATAATGATAACCATGATAATGTTAACATTTGTTTACATTTAGGATCAACATTATGTGATGAGCTGACAGCTGAAACCAGACTTAAAATAGACATGCTGAAGAATTACAGCGTCACTTCTCGGCCGGTCGCAAATCTTTCTCAACCCGTCCTTCTGAAAGTGGGGATTGCTCTGAACCAGATTATTGATCTTGTAAGTGATTTCTTCTGTCCAAAATAAATTGTAACCAAAATAAAAAGTATTGCTATTATCTTTTGGCCGTCACAAGATACAAACCTATACTATTAAGGTTTGGTGAACGAAATTCTCTAAATAAGTACAAAGCATTGACATTCCGTAGATTTATGTCAACTGCTCACAAACTAGTAAACATTAGTTTCCGAGAAATACAAAACTCATGTTCTGTATTCACCTTAAATGTTTATTCGCTAAGTTTTTGGCGGAGATGTCACTTTAAGATATATGGCACGTATATTACCACAACCTGAATGAGGCTGTTGCAAAAAAAGTAAAAACATAATGAGAACATATAGTTAGATGCCAAGCAACACTTTTTTCTGTGTTATAACAATTGCTGGAATATACACTCTTGCTCAAATGATGGAATATTACGGAAATTAGGAATTTTATTACTATTCCTATGTTCACTGTTATAATTGTCATACAGTCTTTTATATAGCCGGTTGTATTGCCGAATAAACAACTTTCAATGTACGAAAGGGGACAAATATCTTTCAGTAATGCAAAATAGTGGGTTATATAGATGTCTTCCCAGTATCACAGATCTCAGCAAAATGGCAGGCAGGCCACGAGCACACTTATGGCCCAGTTAGTCACCGGTTTTTGCGATTGCAAGTCAATTTTCCCAACACAAATTGTTAATTGGTCAATTTTTTCAGCCAGCTATAAAATGTATTTGTGACGATTATCACAGAAAACTTTAAAATAAAAGATTTTAGCTCTAATTTGCAAAATAGTCCATCACTTTTGGCAAGAGTGTATATCTATTATTTCCTTCACTTCATCATTATATCATTTTGCTACAGGACGAGAAGAATCAAGTTATGCTCAGTAGTATTTGGCTAAGACTGGTAAGAAGAATTTCTTGCTTAGAATGTAGACAGATTCAATACGCTATATATATATATATTATTAGCGTTTCAAACTGATATAAACTTTAATGTCAAAATCACATCTGATGATCAGTACACCAATCTGCATTATGTAAAAGCACGGAAGGCTAAACATATGATAACAGTATATTTATTTTAAAGGAAATTTTATCTGCTCCCTTCTGTCTCTACTTTATATACATTGGAGGACGTTATTGTAAATTGATTAAATTTATAACAATAAATATCTTTTTAATCATATCCCCTTAAACAGAATATTATGTGCCTTTGGTTTTTTCTGTATTTTGACACATAAAACACCATCTTTGTCTCTGATAGTCATCTAGATATTTTTGGGTATTTTTAGTCATGGAAAGACGAGTTTTTCCACTGGAACGAAAGTGAATACCAAGGCTTGAAAGAGATACGTATGCCGACATCGGAAATATGGAAACCGGATTTAACGTTATACAACGAGTAAGTATGCTTCCGTTGGAAGGTTGCATTTTTAAAACAAAATGTATTGCATGCATTTGCACTTATAAACCTATTAGGATATTTTAAAAAAGTAAATACGGTACTTTCAAAATTTAATCATATTAAATGAGCCTTGATGTTCATATTAAATTCCAAATTGTCCTCTTTTACTGGTAGCGTTCGAGAGGAGGAGCGGCCCTTGGATCGTTATTCGGCCGTTATCTATCCAGATGGCACGGTCTTTTGGCTGTTCCCAGTCATCCTGAAGAGTTACTGTAAACTGGATGTCACTTACTTTCCATACGACCAACAAAATTGCCCCTTCAAATTTGGTTCATGGGGTTATCATGGCTTCCAACTGGATGTCACCAATAGATCGGTGTCTGGAGACATGTCTAGTTTCATTGACAATGGGGAGTGGGAATTGGTGGATATTCCAGTACGACGCCATGAAATATATTACGGATGCTGTCCCGAGCCCTATCCTGACGTCACATTCTACGTGATCATCAAGAGGCGTTCACTATATTATATTTTCAACATCGTTCTACCTTGTATTCTAATCGTTTCTATTGCCCTTGTTGCGTTCTACCTGCCTCCAGAGTCTGGAGAAAAAGTGTCTCTGGTCATAACAGTTCTACTTGCTCTGACCGTCTTCATGTTGTTGATTGCTGAAATCATGCCGCCGCAGTCAGAGGTTGTCCCGCTAATCGGTAAATATGGCCCCTTGTTATTATTTATTTTTTATTTTTTATTTTTATTGAGTACAATACTTGAAATTGTCAGAAAATGTAAATTCCCCATATTTTAGAAGTTGATGATGGATGAGTCTCCAATTTATTTGTGTGCACTTTTGCACTGAATCTAGATAACTTGCTACAAAGGAAGTCATATAGGGTTAATGCTTATACTTCCATGTTGTAGAGTTTAGGCAAGTTTCCCCTTTTTTCAAAACATCATTACTGACGCCATGCTGCGTGCAATCGTATGGCCGTTCTTGGCAAATTATCACTGAGTAACTGGGCGTGTAATGTATGCGATTGAGCATTATTTTGATTTATCATAGACAACTTCATAATGACACCTTTCATTAGTTATTCTTGCATTAATGATTACTAGGGAATCCATTAGTTCAGCTGTGCATTAGTTCAGTGTTAATGGGTGATATAAATGGGTTTGAAAATTATATAGAATCAATTATTTATTATCATTATTATTTTTTTTTTGACCGACGGTTTAGTAGTAGTAGCAGTACTGGTGGCAGTAAAGTAGCAACTCTTTAGGTAAAAACATGATTCATTCTCAGTAGGCCTACACGGTTGAGCGATACCATTGCCTGGTAGCTGTTTTTTTTTTTGTAGGCCTATATTTTGTATGTTTTTTTTACATTTTAGATTATACGTTTTTATACCAGAATGATTGTCAAATTAGACAAAGCGATATTGCCACTATTGATTTTAACAATAAATGTAAATTTCAGGACAATACTTTGTGGGCGCCATATCCCTCCTGTCCTTGTCAACGGCTCTGACGGTGTTTGTAATGAACCTGCACTACTCTGGTAACCACGGGAGACCCGTCCCTAACTGGTTAAGAAAGCTCACTTTTCATTGGATAGCTAGAATTGTCTGTATGACGAAAATAGTCAAAAGAAAAATGCAGGTAAAAAAACGATCATTCCACTCTCCTGGACAAAAGCTCGCAATTCCGGCCACTTTTAATCTAATTGTCAGAGTCACGTGGCAATATCAATTACTCAGATAAATTGGTCGTGTCTTAATCATGAAGAAACAATTAACGGTTCAAATGTTTCTATGCACTTAGTTGATGGTGCGCGTGCGATAATTGAAAGTTCCCCAGAGAACAGGAAATTATACATTCAATGATTTCTGTTTCAAAAGAGTAATGCTATGTCCATTAAGGGATCCACACCAATAGGCAATATGGTTTTTGTTATATCAAAAATACCCCTAAATCCTTTAATTTCTGTAAAATTATAAAATTTGCGCGAGTAACATTAACAATTTACATTTAAATTGATCTGTTTTGATAGTCGTGTTTCATAGTTTCGATAAAGTTGTGTTTCTGCTGGAAAAACATATAATCCATCAGCGGAGTTTTCGGAATGATCTTGTTGCTTAGACTAAGTGTTTTGTCATACCCTTTACCTTATTAAAGTGTTAAATTTTATTGAAGAATGGATGAGAAATTAAATGTGACTCTTGTATGTCTTGGTATGTGTCATTCTACTTATGCTCATATAAATGTTTCCCTCAAATAATAACCACTGAACTTACACGAGAATATATATTCATTTATACACAGGTCCATCCAGTTTGCCAGCTAGAAAATGGAAATGTCAGTCCGAAGAAAAAATCCCCAAAGAAACCAAAGAAGCGCCAAAAGAAATCTGACATACTAGCCAAAATCTCAGACGGCATTACTCTCTCTCCTCAACCTACTCTTTCTCCAATTCGCGCACCATCCTCTCTCTCAAACGGTGGTATTTGCTGTGGAATGGCGAACAACATCGGTGGAGGAATCGAAGAAACTAACAATCTCCTAAATCAAATTTTGACTCACATAACCTATCTTGGTGCCACAGCGGCGGACTACAGGATGCTACGTGGCGTGGAGTCAGAGTGGCACTTAGTTGCTATCATTATCGATAGACTGTTGCTTATGATATTCGCTCTCATGACGCTTATTTTAACGTTGTTCTTTTTGTGTTTTCAACCAAGTTATGAGTACTCCGTGGATTAATTTTTTACAATTGTCGTCAAATGAGTCTCCGTGCTGTCATATTTCAATCTGATGAATATTGCCGGTGTAACTTGACGGAGAGTCCCCCCCCCCCCAGGATAGAAAGTCCGCTTCCCATTCATTTGTACAAGTAAACCTCGTCCAAGATTTCGACCCACTTACGCCAGGCTAACCCTAATCATTACAGGCCCGTAGCCAGGGGGGGGGGTTCGGGGGGTTCGAAAGAACCGCCCCTTTTGCTGGGAAAAGGTCCACTCTGGGTAAAATTTGTTCTAGGTACATGAGGTTTTTTATGGGAAAAGGTCCACTTTTTCAGAAAAAGAACCCCCCTTTTGAAATTGCATTATAACTAAATGGAAGGCGGATTTCTTTTACACGGACCCTCAGTTTCGTAACACTGACATACTCACATCTAGTCCAGTGTTGTAAAAATGTCACAGTGAACAGTGCCAGTAGCATTTCGTTTGGTCTTGATTTTTGTAGCCTTAATATTTCGTCAACAAAAAATCTGTATTTTTTAACATAGCACTTTTTGTATAAGATAAAAATTATAAGATATAATGATAAAGTTTAAGTTAAGTAATAAACAAAAAGTGAATATGTAACAATTGAATATATATTTGTATAAGATGTAATTTAAAGGTGACTTATAGTTTGGTGTATATGCAATTCATGTCCTGTGATATCCTAAACGGAAAATATTAAATACGAAGGCGAAACCATTGTTATCATTGCATAATGTAGATATTTTTGTTGAACGTAAAACAATGAGATTAAGGTAAAAATAAAACATTATAGTCACACATATTTTAAGGGACGCCGGATATTAATGGCCCTTGTATACCTAACGTTAATAACAAATGTCATAATATATATTTTTTATTTATTCAATCATTCGAAGATCAGATCATTTTATGACTCTTTATTCGGCTCTTCGACCAATCTTAACTACCAGCTTTTGCCGACTGGATGGCCGGGGAACAGTTCTTTATGAAAGGAACATGTACCTGCTGTTTCCCCATTTCGCACGCAGCACGTAGGGGTTGTAGCAGGGGTATAGTACCTGGTCTGGCACCTTTTTCGGCTGACCGGTCATTTAGAACTAAATCACTAAATTTAAAATAAAATGGAATATCGAAACCGAATACAAGGACGGGACAAACAATGATTAGTCAGTGAGAGAAAGTTGCCCCTTTCCCGAGGAAAATTCATCTTAGCGGGTAAATCTCGAATAGATGACTTTAAGTGATAAAAATAATAGGTAACATTAAAACTCCATATCATTTGCCGAACACTGTGCAAAATTGTTTTGTCCTGTTGGCTAAGGGTACCTGCATAGATATTATCTAAGTCTCTCACCTGGTGTATTGGGATAATGTGTTCAGCTTTTAAAATGGGAATTGACACGGCGATCAATCGTGTGTAGGATTGAATGTAATTTTAATGACAGTAAGGGACACATCTCCGATATTAGTAAAAACATCTATAGTGGATGGCCCTCTTTGATCTAGGGAGAATCGGAAGCAAAAACACTGAATAAATTGATGTTTCTACATAAATTTACAGAACCGTGTAACAAAGAACCAATTTACCCCTTTTTCAAATTCATCTACCGGGTATCTATCAGCCCACACTATATAGAAAGTGGAAGCAAGGTAGATTGGATGTTTTAAGTAAGATAACATTCAATCACATGCGTTTAACCTGAAATTGATTTTTGGTTTCTCTTACCTAAGTGGTTTTCTTGACGCCTTTTGCCTATAAATATACGTTAAATTTTCTAAAGAGAGAACAGCGAAATTACTGTGGGTTCATCGGACCCACTTAAGTTAAAACAGCCAAATTAACGCTTTCAACTCTTTGTGCTCACAATGTAATTACATGTACGTGGGGATCTGTTGGATTAATGGTTGGTGTCTTGTATCCGAACTTTTTTGTCAAAATAAAATACAGGAGACTTCCCGTTAAGCATGGCAGACAGTGGTATGGAATGATTTGAACCCGAATTTCTGTTAACTGAATAAATGTCACCAATTTGCGTATGCTTACATTGTAACATCCGACTTCCTTGTTGTCCTACTCATGAAAAGTGTTATCGACCAAACCGTCCTGTTTGGATTGTACTTGTTCCGGGGTGCTCAACGGAACCGAATCTGTAGTACTGACATCCTAAACGATCCTAAAGGATGTCAATACTCCAATCAGAGTGCATTGCACACAGCCGTTACTAAGAAGGTAAAATCTATTGACAGTGCAAAGTTCAAATATACAGAATATTACAATTATGTTTTTATCTTAATAAAGGAAATAGGTGTTCGGTGGTTAAACTTTGTTGGTAATTAATATACTGTCTTGATCATTCTCACATGTACACTTTGATTTCAGTCAGCGGACCTTTAGTATTGACCATAAATAAATTGTTATTTAAATACTTCAAACACAAAAATATAGACAAACATCTTTTTAGTTTCGTGTTCAATGATATACCAACCAGGGAACTGCCAACTGAAAATGTTTGTGTTTTATTCCATTCTTAATATTATCATCTGTTTTATAAATGTAAAAAAAATGCAATAATAATAATAATAATAATAATAATAATAATAATAATAATCCATTCAGTAAACCGCGGCCCAAAGGTTAAAGTTGTACATGGTCAAAATATAATATACAGAGTAAATGGTAATTAGAATTAAATAAAAAGTTACTTGTAAAAATTTAATTATTTGTAATGCACTTAAACGAACATGAAAATGATATTCAAAAAGAATATTTAAAACAACCATTCTAGATCCTTTGGTACAAAAAATTTGGTGCTCTAAAATTAATAGATAATAAACCTGTAGGAATTCATAAAGGTTAAACCAGGATAGGCCGTAATGATCTTTTCTGGATCGACTCAACACAATCAGACTGTTCAGGACATTTGTACTCTTATTAATTGACTAGTAAATGGTCATAAGATCGTGTGTATCCAGTTCTGCTCTCTTTAGTTTTTCTTAAGAGTTTTCCTAAAAATGATAATAATAAAATCAAGTAGACTACTACATATCCTGGATCAAAGGAGACTTCTGTTTTCAGTCTTTTAAGTTCAACTTTCGGCTTAAGTTGTTCATGGAATACGATGCTCGGATCTCCAGATACAGCCAGTAGAAAGCGAATCTCATCAAATTGATTCATATCGGTTACCTTTACAAATGAAATACAAGAACCGCAAATATACCATTAGTAAAGTTAATGGATTAATGTGTGTTGTGCCCATCAAATTGCTTGTTTAATGTTGTTTGTTATCTAGCAATTTAATCATCAACTTTGCATAGTGTTTATAAACCGTGTCTTTGCACCCCTTACATCATGTGACAACCTGTGTAAAGTGACGATAATTAAAAGCTTCGTTTTCCTCATCCGGTTGGATGGCGACATGAGCTATGGCAACATTTTAGCCTAGCTCATTTTAGATGTTTGTTGCTAAACGCTCTGTCGTCGACGGATTGATTTTTCAAATAAAATAGACAGGTAGACAAGTGCACATTATTGAACTGGCTTACTATTTGGGGGAAAATGGTATCAACGAGAAGAAAAACGCGATTGCTGCTGATAATGATGCCACTATACTATTATATACTTATTGGAGGTAAGTTAATTTTAAAAGCACTTGTCATTGAAAATAGATGCTCTAAGCTTTGTAAAATCGGTTAAACAACCAACAAATGTTAATGATAACAACCACATCGTTCCTGCTCCTCTCAGGAGTTTTCACGTTTTGAAAATCTACGTAGTTATATGGCACTTGATAGGTGCGAAAAGAACTGTATCAAGACGAATCAGAAAAGGGAGAATAAAACTCCATTCAGGTTTACTTATCAAAGTTTATTCCTATCAACAGTATCACCTACATACAACATATGGTCGGAAAATACGTCTGAATAAAACGCGAGTTTGTGAACAATATAACAATGGTAGGATTGGTTTCCAAAATAATCCATGCCGAGCAATTTATCAGAAATTATTTTATACTCACACAATATTTTGCCTTCAACGGCTTTTCTGATTTGTGTTTTTTCATACAACTGTGATGATATCAGCTGATATTGATTTTCTTGTTGATGTTGAAGTGAGTCGTGATACGAGTGAGTAGGTAACTCCACTCTAATGAGATCCATCAAATGTATGAGTGATTCACTTTGTTTTGTGTTTTAGCTTTAACATGCGGTGGGACCTTTGTTAATACAAATAACATCAGCCATCTCTATACCGAGTTATTTCACACCTATAGAGTCAACATAAGGCCACCCTCAAGTGATGATGGACCAATAACAGTGCAATTAGCAATAGCAGTAAACCAGATTATAGATTTGGTCAGTACATTTTATACAGGAAAGCAAGTTTTCAAACAATTAGAAATCAATTTGTTTATAATCAGCTTTGAAACGGGTTTTTATTGCAAAATCATACATATTATCCAATAATGTTTTGACGTGAACTCTACAAAAATACTGGTAAATTTGATTGATGTTGCTACTCAGTGACAGCACATTTATTGAATCAACAAAAAGATTTATCGCTATTTTCTATCTATTAAAGGACGAACGAAACCAAGTGCTTTTCGCCAGCATTTGGCGACGATTGGTGAGTACTACCCGAGGGGTAATAGATAGTCATGGGGTCACTGGTTGTTTGCTGCTGGGATATGTCCAAAGGCACTCAATGGGCATTAGATCTTTAAATAACCAAAATCAACTTTTCCTTGAAATAACAACACCTTTTCTTTTCAAAATTACCAAGTTGTACCTAATCTAAAACTGCGATCTTTTATTCCGTTTTGAGCTCTATTTTATACTTTTTAAGTCACTCTTGTGAAGGAGCTGTATTTGACTTGTGAGGGTAGAAATTAGAATTTGAGAATTTAAAAACAGGTTGGTAAGTTTCATCTAAACGGTTCTGGATATAACATACTTTGTTGTTAAAGAGAAATTTCTTGTAATTTTCGGGAAAATGCTTCTTTCAGCAGGTTCTTCCTTTAATATATAAACTCTGATATTCAGAAAAAACTTCAAAGGGGATGGGTGTAAGAAAGGGGAAGTCCCTTTACCCAGTATATGAATTGGCCCATACAAGGACAGACAATCCCTCTCCGAATCTTTACTATTGCCCTTTTTTAAAATAAGAACTTAATACATCTAGAGCTAAATTTTATTTCACATTTACTTAAGTGCATTTCTAAAATATTCAGTATTTATATATTGATTTTTCAAGTCCCTCTTATACTTACATTTAAAATTTGATATATAGCGTTGGCGAGATGAACGGCTGCAGTGGAAACCCGAGGACTATGCAGGGATCAGTGAGCTTGATATTCCAACCAACAACATATGGACGCCAGATATTGTTTTGTACAGCGAGTAAGGCACTGTTTTGTTTCTATTGTCTCTGATTGATTGGTGCGTTAAAATAAAATGTATTATCGTCTATATGCTTTTTGTGTCATTAAAGACCGCTTTGTGTCATTAGTGAGAGAGACAGAGGGGGAAGAAAATAGTCCCTCCCCTTAACAGTTATTTATTTACGTTATTCTTTTTTGTAGTGTTCGAGAGGAGGAGAGGGATTTGAGCCATATCTACGCAAAAGTGTATTCCAACGGTGATGTTTCCTGGCTTACACCAATTATTTATAGAAGTTACTGTAAATTTGACGCCACTCTTTTTCCCCTACGACCAACAGATCTGTACCCTCAAGTTTGGTTCTTGGAGCTATCACGCCTTGGAACTGGATTTGGTCAACATGACTGAATCCGGCGACACTACTGCTTACGTTGACAATGGGGAATGGGCTTTGATAGATATACCAGTCAGGCGTAAAGTTGAATATTACAGCTGCTGCTCGGAACCGTTCTCTGACGTCACATTCTACGTCATCATTAAACGAAGACCCTTGTTTTATTTCTTTAACATCATATTACCGAGCATATGTGTCGCCTCAGTTACACTGCTAACATTTTGTTTGCCGCCGGAATCTGGAGAGAAAATGTCTCTTAGTGTAACTGTGCTTTTGGCCCTAACTGTATTCTTGCTCCTGGTAGCAGAGTTAATGCCACCGCAGGCTGACGTCATACCTTTGATTGGTAAGTAAAGTGTGCTAAAAACCACACTGCCACAACACTTTTCTGCGACAATACGTATAAAATAACTAAACCCACATAAACATTTAAGTACGTATGATCATGTAAAGGGAAAAGGTGAAATCCTATTTTTGAAGTTTATTTTAATACATGTAACAAATTTAAAATGTTATAATGTTTAACTATATCGACATTAAGCTGCCTCAAATCGATAATATAAATGTTAATGAAACATTAAACATCGTTTCAGCCATTTATTTCTTCTGTGACATCGCACTGATTTCTGCCTCAACCGCAGTGACGGCGTTGATAGTGAACACACAGTACAGTGGATCTCACGGCAGACAAGTTCCATCCTGGTTACAGAGGGTGGCATTTAACTGGCTATCCAGACCACTTGGTCTCAGAGCAATTATTGAATCAACTTTGAAATCCCAGAACACGGTCAAGGTAAGTAGCCAATATTGTGCGATGGCACTCGATTTTAATCTTGCAAATCGTTGGAGGGACTAAAAAAAGGGAGGGGGCACAAATTTATTCAACCCTCTCCGTGCCTTGCCAATTGGAATAAAGCCTAGAAGGACACAGATATATTCGGCTATCATATTTAGTCAAAGCAAAATGTGAAGTCCACAGTTACGTTAAATTTGGTTAAACTGAACAATCATTTTGTCTTCATAAAGGTACATCCAATGCCAGTCAAGTATCTGCAAGACGAAACGAGAACCTTGCCAGAAGAAACCACTACAGGCGATCCTACTTGGTTGGAAAACCAGCCCCCAAATAGTGACGCCGAACAAATGGCATGGGCACACTTCAGGGAAGCACAGATGCAAACAAATGGGTTATTAAATCTTATCCTTCAAAAGTTGGTGTTATTTGAAGATCGTCAACAAGCCCATAAACGGCACGACAAACGCTGTATAGAATGGCGACTCTTAGTTCTTGTACTGGATCGACTGTTTTTGTCCCTTTTCATCATTTTTACCCTGTGTATGAACTTTGGCATTTTGCTTTATCAGCCACAGTATAAAGGACTAGAGGAATAAATTTTGAGTGATTAACTTATGAATAATCCAAGTAGCCTTACCTCTATTTTACGAGAAGCGCACGCCATAATAAATATACACTGTCAGTTCCATGCATTGTAACTATCAATAAAAACAAACACTGAACATAATTGAGATAATTTCCTACCCTTGAGACGCCGATCGTTAACCAGCTCATTTATTTGGTACATGTATCATCTAATGAAAAAATAAGCACACGAAAATGATGAATTAATCGCAATGAATGAATATTTTTAGATATCGAATTGCGTACATTCGGTTCCAACGCAATCGATAATGAAGGGTGGACGTCTAAAACCGGATACATGCTTGAAAAAGTATGCAGAGCTCAACTACTACATTTCTGAACGCAATACCAAGAGAAAAAAATTCAAAAGAATTTTAATTCGTTCTTTTATGTTGAATGTTATTTTTTCATACTGTCAATAAATGCATAGACCTAATATTTTAAGAATGCCTGCAGCTGAGAGAAATAAATAAATACTTTTGTACAGCACTGATAACAATAACATAGAAGTTGCTCTTTTCCAATTTTTTTAAATGATTTCAAACTCATTTTATTCCATATGATTAATTTGATTAACTTCATAAGGATACTTCAAGAAGTGTAATTTAAGGACATTGCGTAGCATTTATACCAAGCCATGAAAAGAACCATTGATTTAATCGCACTTTCATCGGCAAACATTCACATTTCCCTTGTTAATAGATCTGCATTTGACATGACAACATGGGCGAAATTGGCGTTTTAATGCACCCAAGATATCAGTGGTTTACAAATTTGAAAACATTATCAAAATAATGATCCACTCTCGATCATGATGTACTTCTGTTTATTTGCATGTTTGATTTTCATAGACATGGTGGTATCTCAACTCGTTCAGCAAACATTTTGAGTTGGGCTAATACTCTGTGGGTTTATTAAGTCAGTGCCTCATTAAAAGTAACATTAGTTCACTGACGTGTTACAATGCTAACCCTGTGTCAAAGCTTGCGTGTAACCAGTAGGGCAGCCGTTTTTAAGAACTCAAGAACCCAATTCAAGAACTCACGTTGAATTTGGCGAACAATACAAAGAACGAACAAAAACTACAAATTACAAACAAACAAAAGAGTCACCTGAGATGGTATTCTCTGCCACGGGGTATTCAGCTGACACTCACCTGTGCACAGCATGGGTAACGCATTTCATGCGTCACTGCTTTGATACAAAACTTACGAACATGAAAATCACGTTTGACCTTACACTTGAAAAACAGCGAACACCCACTGCTGGGTATTAGTCGAGGAAAATTCATCACTGGGTGTTCTTGGGCCCAATTCGTCCTCATATCTCCGCAGGGAAAGGTTTTGGGGTTGCTCGTGAGGATGGAGAACTACGTGAAATTTTGTGTGAAGTGGTTTATTGTGTGTTTGTTAGTATTTCATTCCAATGGTAAGTGTACAGCGTGTGTACATGAGACATTTGTCAAGTATCATTGTTACATGTAGACTGAGACTTTTACTGACTTTTACTGTAGGGGTAATGTTGGGTATAAGATAAAGACAAGTACATGTATTGTCGTATAGTAGTATAGTATAGTCTTAAAAATCTGAGACCATTGAGGTCTATCAGTTCATATACAATATCAATACAACAGTATATGCTTAAAGAAAGCATAATGGTAAATGTCTTTATGAGTAATTTAAAAGTACGGTCTCTCTCTCTCTCTCACACACACACTCACAGCTGGTTTTAAAAATATATTGTGCATGATAAAGGCTTGTCTTAACTTTACGACCTAAAGCTTTATAGGAGTAGTCGACTAAACGTTTCGTAAAATTAGGCAATTCTTAATTTGTAAAGTAGCCAACCAATTTACAATATTTGGCTTAAGAAGTCCTTTTTATCAAAGGTATCTTTTCCTACATTTCCCTGCCAAATTGGATATTCTTCGAAAAAAACATTTTTTGGTCCGTTCCTGCGCTTGGAGGTGATGTTCTATACTATTTCTAATTAAATAATTTAGTTCTGAACAAGGAGTTGTAACTCCTTGGTTCTGAATGACTGGCCAGTCACATGTCGTCCTGTTCATTTCAGGACTTTTTAAACGCAGATATTGCACCTTCAAGACAAACATTTGGTTCGTTTTCTTTTTCTAAAACTTCTAGTAAGTCACAAACCTTTTGTTAAAACATTTTAAGGGTCTTTCCTCCTTTCATTAGTTAATGGGGAGGAAGACGATCACGGTGATGAAGACCACGCTGCCATGGAGTCCAGCTTACTTTCCCATCTCTTCTCAAACTACAATACGATCTCCATGCCCTTCAATCCGGACGGTCCTGTGGTGGTGAAACTGGGTATGGCACTGTTTAAGATGGTAGACCTGGTAAGTGTGTGTGTGTGTGTGTGTTCGTGTGTTTGTGTGTTTGTGTAGTGATTCGTGTCAAAAAAAAAAAAAAAAAAAAACTATACCAAATTAGCTAAAAATTTTGAAAAGCAAGTTTTCGAGTGGTATTTAAACACTACATATAAATTGGTGTGCAAATTGGAATCAGACAAATTGGGATTTAATTATTTTGTTCACTTTAGAATTCACCCTTTACGGACCCTAGGATAACAACTAGTTAAAGTTGTTACATGTACATGTATGTTCATTTAGAACCATTGTACATATGCACATTATACCGTTGTGCCTTTAGAATCTTTGAACCTTTGCGTTCAAAATACACTTCCTTGGATCCTAATATTAAGTAAATATTTTCTTTTTTAATTGAATAGTACAATGTATACAATGGATTAAGTCATAAACATCTATTTTTACATTGTTCGGGTTAAGGCGAAAAACGGGCGAGATGAATAAACATTTTATTAAACAATGGTAAACAGAGTTACAAAACCCGATAAGAATAAAAGACTTTAACCTATACATCACATAGGGGTTAAAGCAGGGGGTAAAGTTCCTGATCAGGCAGAGAAAGATATTGTTCGTTTGCTAGTTTCAGCGCCTCATACGGCATGCTGGGCTGTATCCTCCCCAGGCAGGCGAGAGCGTCTACACCCAGATTGTATCAGGGCAAAAAAGATCTGTAAACTGTGTTGAGATGCATCTGTAGTGCGGTATATAAGAAGTGACCTTTACTTTACCTTTTTTTTAAACATAATATCTACTTTATTGTCTCCCCGTATTTTTAAAAATCTATTTATTTTTTATTACTATTTATTACTTCCCTGACTAGTGTGTAGATACCAGTGATGAAAAGATGGAAAACTAAAAGCAGGCTGGCGACTTACGATATTTATTATAAAAGAATTAATATAAGCATGTGTATAAATACAACACAGATTACACCAATAAGCGAATGAAATGAAATAATAAATATATAGAGGAATTCGATAAACAACTGTAGGTATAACACAAAATGAAATTGTATGTTAAATACATGTACATTATGAAATACAAGTTAACAGCACGTGGAACCCTGTGGGTTTTGGGGTGTCTACCTACATGCCTTGTCTATATTTCACACTGTATACATGTGCTTACTTATTTTACATAAATTCAAGTCTACCTTCAGGTACTACTTATTTCACTTTTTTGCTTTTATTTGCGTTGCCTTAATACACACGTCTATTGAGACACCTTTATTAGCTATTTATAATAAATAAATATCCGCATGATATTAGTGAATGCTTTTTTCTCCCTCACAGGATGAAAAACATCAGATACTTTTTAGCAGTCTTTGGATGCGGATGGTAAGTAGAAAAAACATGCAACTCAACGCAAAATATTGAGAGTCAAAGTAAAGCGAAACAATTGACACGAAAATCACAAATTTGAACCCCGAACCCCATTTTTTCATAGTTTGGAGAATGGGACGTACCCAGTTTTGTATAAACATTTGCAGTATAAGATTAAAAACCAACTCATAAAAATCGACCTTCGAAAATAAGTTTTGGGCCCTACCTTGAGTTTTAAACTGTTTCTGGTTAGTGTTGAGACGCTTCTGAGCCACTCTGGTCTAGGCCGTAGCTAACTGTTATAAAGCTTTGGCAGTTAATTGCGTCATGTTTTTCCCATGCAGCTGGGTACATACATTCTGATGTCATTTTGTTTCGTTTTATGTAAAATTGGGTTTAATTTTTTTTTAAAATTTGGACACAGACATGGGATATTCTGAACCCTAAGACTTTAGCCCTGAGGGGAGTAGATATACACATTGATACAGTGTTGAATTGTATTTCAGTCCATACAATGAGGCTTTGCATTGTAATAGATTGCATGTTTTTAAAGTTGCCTTTTTGTCTTTCTGTGTATTGTCTAGAGCTGGACTGATAATCGCTTGAAGTGGAACACTACTGAGTTTGAGATTGAAGACCTTCATATCCCATACACCCGCGTGTGGCGGCCTGATATAACACTATATAACGAGTGAGTATAAGACCCCATGCCCATACCTAGATCGATCTAGCAAGATGGACTCATCTCCGAGGGGATTCTCGCTAAATTACATTTAGCTTAAGCGGCTTAGATGTTTGGCACGCCTACTAAAGCTGCTAAACGATACAGATTCAGTAGGTGTGCCAGATATCTAAGCCGCCTAAGCAGAGTGAAATTTAGCGAGAAACCCCTCGGAGATGGGTCGAGCCTGCTAGATCGGTCTAGACATGGGAATGGGGTCTAAACATGCATATCATGTGCTTTAAAAGCGAACAGTAAGTGCTCTCTGGATAGACACTCGGTGTTTCTGATACATTTAAAAACAAAGCTATTGGTGAGTACATTTCATAGATAAGATATCATTTTAATTTAAGTCCATGCATTGTACATGTGCATGCCACAACTCAATAACGAAGATTGATAGTTACGGTTAAAACTCTGTACAACGAGTTACACAACGAATAAACGCACGTCAAAGCAAAATAACTGAAAAGAATTTGACAATTATAGCGTAGGTGAAGACGAAAAATCCCTGGATAAATACCCAGTGAAGGTGCACTCCGATGGCAGCGTCCTATGGCTGGCGCCCGTTCTGTACAAAAGCTATTGCAGGCTGGACGTTAGATATTTCCCCTACGACCAACAGGTGTGTCCACTGCGCTTTGGCTCGTGGAGTTTCCATGGTGACCACCTCCTCCTTACCAATATGTCTGAATCCGGGGATACCAGCGAGTTCGTTGATAACGGCGAGTGGGAGCTAGTGGCCATGCCGTTGAAAACATCTATAAAAAGCTACCAGTGCTGTAGCGGGACCTATGCTCTTGTGACGTTTTATATAGTAATGAAAAGGCGGGCGCTGTATTACGTCTTTAACATCATCATACCATGCATCTTGATTGTGGCGGTCTCGTTGCTGTCGTTCTACTTGCCACCCGAGTCTGGAGAAAAAGTGTCGCTGGTGGTGACTGTCCTGCTTGCCCTGACAGTTTTCATGTTACTGATAGCAGATATCATGCCGCCCCAGGCCGACGTGGTACCATTTATAGGTATGTTGCGCGTATGGGAATATCCACAGATTATTGTCATAAAAAACTGAGAAATGGCGTTTGTTGATAAGTTTTGTTTACACTTTTGGTCATTGTAGTGGACTGATTGTCGGATACTTCGTACTCACTGCTAGTTACTACTCACTCGTATGCTGGGAGTTCAATAATTAAAAAGACGCACGATTGTTTGTTCGGGACCTAAGTTATTTAAGAGACAGCAAAGAAAAAACTGATACTAATCATCAGTAATATTTATTATTATTAACAATGAGCATCAACACGTGCGTGGCGGGATTGTTTCCGCGCACATATGTATCTGTAGGCGACTACAGCAAAACTGAGCACACACATCAACACTGATTGGTCAACTTTCTTTTTTTTCTTGCAGCGATCTATTTCGCCTGCATTATTGCACTTCTTTGTTTGACGACCACCATGACCGTTATGATCATCAACCTGCAATACAGCGGGAACCATGGTAACCGAGTCCCTCCGTGGCTGAAGCGAATCTTGTTTGGATGGCTAGCAAGACCCTTGTGTCTGAATGAATTAATTCAGTTGAACCTAGATATTGTGAAGAACTCCCAGGTAATGTATTCCTTCATTTCTTTATCAACGTATGGATACATAATAAAATATTGAATTTTTCAATTAATTCATTTTTCAATCCATCCATTAATCCATATGTGCAGTCGTACACGAACCCAGGCATTCATTTATATTTTTTTAAATATTTCCTTAGGTCCAACCTGACGGAAAAGAACCAGTGACCTCGATACGTTCACTTAAGCAACTGGAAGAAAACTATGACAAACTTCCATCAACTGAAAATTTGCTCCACCAGTCTCGTTCAAACCTGAATGGGAATGTGTCGAAGCTTATTGGAGAAAATAACACAAAACTGACGAATAAAGAATCCTTGCCACCTATAGCCGACCTCGCACATGGTAAGAAAAAGTGCAAATGCCACTGCTTAAAGCACGAAGAAGACAAACTGGCGAAAATTCTCACAAAATTGGAAAAATTTGACGGAGATCGCAGAATCAAACGTCAGATCGAGTTGGCCAGCTTAGAGTGGGAGTTAACCGTTCTCGTGATTGACAGACTTCTTCTCGTGATATTCTTCATATTGACAGTTATAGTCAACTTGACCTTCCTGGTATACCGACCGGATACCTCAACCTATACCCTGGACTAGCCAGATACCTCTATTCTATACCCTGGTGTGACCGGATACCTCTACCAATACCCTGCACTGACCTGATACAACAACCTATATCCTGGACTGACTGGATACTTCTACCTATATTCTGGATTGGCTGGATACCTCTACCAGTACCTATACCCTGGACTGACCATATACCTATACCTTGGACAAACCGGATACCTGTACCTATATTCTAGAGTGACTTGGCTTCGAAATAAAATGATTTGTGCATGCAGTGTGGCGGATCTGAGCTAAATGTAATGTCAAGTGTGTCTGCTGCAAGCGTGTGCAGTTGCAATTTAAATTTTGTCCAGTAAATTTTAAGTAAGAGCTGGTTGAATTATGTAGTCCCTTTTGAACTTAGAGCAATCGCAGCATTGACATTTTTACCGTGAGTGTGGCAGATTTCCTTTTTTGCTTATTCAAAAAGAAAAAAGAACCATCGTGTCTTAATTTGTGAAAAAAAGTCAGACTAGTTTATTTTAATTTTGGGGGTGAAGCTAGCTTAAAGCATTACACGATTTTTTAATTGGCATTTGGAAACCGGTTCACGATTAAAAGGGGCACTTTCTTTGGACTTATTTACATAAAGACACATATTTCCAAACAGTTGTGAAGAACATTGTGACTTGTGGTTAAAAATTCGAAAGAATGATATTCTACAAGTACCAGATAATTGCCCATTATGCAAAGAAAACCCGTCTCCTTTCTTTTTTTCTTCTGTATATGTGTGGGCCAATATTTCACTACCGGTCACCTGACAAAAAGAGGAATAAACCTCTCGGTGCGAGTTAAGCTGTCAGTCTTGTAAGCCTGACAGAGAGTGTGTTAGAGTATTTGTATCTTATATACACGCTTTGTTAATTTATTTGTAAATATACAGTATGTTAAATATGTTGTACATGTTTGTACATATTATAGTGCTTTGCACGTGAAACTTGTTTTTACCAGTGGCCTGTGAAGAAATCAATAAGAATGTAAAAACCAATCATTAATAAGATTAATAATAAGATGAATTAAAATAAGTAGAGAATGAAAAGAAATTGAAAGGCATGATCATTTGCTTTTTGGAGTTTATTTTCGTTTATTTTCTTTGCTTTTCTTAAAACTTAGTACATACATGTCTGCCAAAAGCAGAAGGTGCCACACATTTATGAGTCTTTCTTTGTTGCTGTGGCGACAAAAAGTCCGTTGAAATCAGAATTATCTTTACTTCTAAGATTACACTCGTAACAGGTGACATTTTGAAGTCCAGCTTTCTCCAAAGCTCCCAATACCTCATCCTTGCTTACTTCTAAACAGAAAAACTTTTCCTCGCCTACGTCATAAAACGACGAACCAAGAGTGCCTACCATTACAAAATGACCGCCAGCTTTCAACAGGGAGACTACACTCTTCAAAGATTTTTCGTAAGCGTGGACGTCGGTACAGTTAACATCAATACACAAGGAACTCACCACAGTGTTAAAATAAGCCGCCTGGTGAGGAAAGATAGGATTCATATTCCTTATTTACATTTATACATGTAAGTATCTGCTTCATGGTTTATCTCTATAACTGTAAGACTCTCCAAGTACCTGTATGTCTGTCCATCTGACTATCTATTTATGTTTCTCTCCTTATTTCGCTCTCTGTCACCTTTTTTTAAAAACTTTTTCTTAACTTGTATTTTAAATTCCATTATTGACATACCATCTGGAAATGTCGGATTTGCTGATGCCTACATCACTGAATGCAACTATCTGATTCCTGAGACAAATGTCAGTCGGTCCTGGCATGGCTTCAGCTAGAGTATGGTGCAGGTCAGGTCTCACCAGACTATTTTATATCAAGGCAAAAACACCCCCTTTATATAGCAAAGCTAGCAACATCTATTTGCATACTAGTGCCCCTAATACTCTTAGCTTTACAATGTATCTGTCATCCGTTAACATGTCCTCTTTGACCTAGGTTTTGTCTAATGTTATTGATTACTGTGGGGGGAAAAGAAGCCAAAATATAAACGTGTATAGCTTTAAAACCCTATTACATTAATCAAAACCCAAATTGTCGAGGGTCTGACAACCATTTTGAGAAACAATGAACTTTAATTTAACAAAACGAATTCCGCCAATTTTGATGAGATGATTGAGGTAGGCCCTAAAAACATCTATCTACACACCTGATCTAGGGAACACACAAACTGGGATAAAAAAGTGTCACCAGAGTATAAGGTTTATTTTTTACTGCTTCGGGAACTGAATTTGCATTGAAACACGACTAAAAACAGGTACATTGTAGTACCACCACATGAGCTCTGTTTTGCAAATGTAGGAAAGGTTGAAAGTGAAAATTTTTAAGGACAAAAAAGGTCGGCAAACGGCGCAAGACGAAATATACGCCATGTATTGGAACACGGACTGAAGTTTTTCAACAGCATGTCAGATTCTGAGGAGAATATAAGGAAATATTTATTTTCCATTTTTTGTAACCTCTTCCCCTCTCGTTCCCCATTTCCAATGTAGGCAGTGAAATTCTACTACATATGCTTTGGAAAGGCGTATCAATTTTACACAAGCCGAAAAACTTTTATACCGTTAGCTTACGGCCAAAGTAGGCCTTCATCAGACTGATGTGAGCAGATGTTGACACGCACTGACCGCTAGGTGGTATAGCGGCCAGGTATAAACACACATCATGAAAGCTTCATCCAGTGTCTTGTTCTCTAGTGTCTTGTCTTCCTCATTGTCATGTCATCTACATATCGCAACCAAAGACGTGGAGGATTGGGCATGGACCCCAGTGCGCCCCAAAGTTCTCCATATACAGATTGGCCACAATTGGACTGATTAAACTGCCCATGGCCTTTTCATGTTTTTGCTTATGGAATTCCCCCTTATGGATTAAGTATGTGGTGTTCAATACAATATCTAATAGCTCTGTCATATCCTCTACTGAAGATTATTCCGTTCCATGAGGGTGGGATCTTGTGTAAATATGGAGCTGATCACACCTAGAGCATTATTCACCGGTACACTACTGAATAGGACACTCACGTCATATGATACTAGAGCTTCGTGCTGTCTCAGAATGACATCCTTCGCTTTATCCACAAAGTCCTAATAGTTCTTTACATGGTGACACGATTTTCCCACCAACAGGTTTAAGATATTAGCTAACAACTTTGCTGTCTGTTAAGTGACCAGTCCAATACTTGACACTATCGGTCTTAAGGGTGTGCCCTCTTTGTGAATCTTAGGTAGACCTTTACTTTCTCATACGTTTTATCACATCATTCAGCAGTTGCTGAATCGTGTGCTCATACATGTAGTCTGTCCTGCCCCAGTGAGTGTCAACATCTGTTCACATATCAGCGTGATGAAGGCCTACGTCCAGGTTGGCCGTAATACCCCCGTCACACTAGAGGCGGAATGAGCAAGAATGCCGTCAGAAAGACAATGCTTTGTGCGTTCCTGGATATATTTAAAGAGCATTCTAAAAATTCCGAGTGCATTCCAAATATTTTTACCCATTCTTGTGGTTGGCCCGAATGTTTTGCTCATGTTAAAAACTTTCGAAGTGCATTCCAAGTGGTAAATCATCGAATGGGATTTGAAAAGTATTATAACTGCACTATGACAGCATTCTAAATATTCTCACGGCATTCCGACAGAATACGAAACGTTCTGATCACATTCGAGGGAGAACCGAAATGGCAAGACACTTCAAATCCTGTTAGAATGAGCCAGAATGCAACTCGAATGCATCTTGATCCTATTTCAGCCAGCAGTCAAACTACACTCGTACGGCATTCTAAGTGTATTCTAAATACTGTGACTGCATTCTGACAGCATTATTGATATTCCTAATTTTCCAACTACATTCGAGCTGCATTTGAGAGCTAATACAGCCGAAATGTGCACGAATCATTCCAGGCGGATTCCAAGTGTTCCAACGGCACTCTTACAAGAATTTGGGTCAATTTAAAATTTCTTCCCGAATCTAGTACGAATTTTTAAATTTGGTCATTCCGTCTGGTTCTGTTTGATTCCTGCCGATTCCGAATAAGTGTTACGGGGTCTTAAGCTAACGGTACGAAAGTTTTTCGGCTTGTGTTTGATATTCTTTGTGATCCAACTACCAAGCTAATGCACATTTTAATAATTGTCTCAATTTGTATTTCCCTTATTATTATATTATTGTAGTGCCGCCAAATTCAGTCACTTTGCCTACTTCACATGAACATTACTCTGCTTGGGTAAATTCTGGAATAAAATTTTAAACTTTGTGTTCATACCTAACACCTCTACTTATTACGTGACAATTTCAAGCAAAATATCAAGGGGGCAACTTCTGACTCATTTTTGAAAGTGGTGTCATTAAAACTTGAATAACTTTTTATCTTAATGAAATAAATAAAAAAAATTATTTAAATTCAGTTATATGTAGCTAACTGCGCGTACAATTTCAAGTTTCTAGCTTAATTTGATTGAATCATGTGTGGATCCTACCTGAACTGAACATCACGTGCAAGGTCTTCAGTACAAAAGGCATAAAACTAGGACTGTCCGTAGGCCTTTATGCCATTTTGGTAGGATTTTAGGTATGCCAAGGGATCAAACTTGCTGTGATAGTCATCTCCATTGCGTGTGACGGGCTTTGTAGTCTCCTCGTTGACAGACATTATGTGAATATATGTTTGGTCTTTCCAGTGACCCTGATGTTTTGTGAATGCATTTTGCCCGCATTAAAGAACGTCAAATGAACAATGTGCGAAGAATAAATAATCTATATCATACACTATGGAAACAGCAAAATGAACCCAATTTTTATGGCACTTGTTATGTGTTCTTTATTAATTTTTATGTGTTCTTAATTTTAAAACAACATGTACTAAACAAATGTTCAGAATAAACAGCCATTTCGCAGAGCACTCAAGGCGTGTTTCTAGATTGAATGTGGTGATCTAGATTGAATGTTAAAAAACATAAATGCCAGAACCACTTTTAACATTTTTCCTACCGAGAAACAAATTTTAGCATTGTATACATGTAACACGGCGTGGGCCAAATGGGACCCTTTATTTCACTGATACCTTGTGGTTGTGGCCCTAAAACTAGCCTAGCATATTAATGTGAGATGGACATGATATGTATGGCTATTATAACCTCAGTACCTTACCTTTATATGATAAAATTCCAGATTCGACAAAATATTTTTCACGGGACAAGTGGTAACATGGCAAACAGCAAGGACGATCGAGAGCCTACCTTACGTAGTGGAAATGATTATGATTCGGTCTTTGATCCAAATGCGTATCTAACACTATATTATAGTGATGTAGAAGGCTATAAGGCGGGACTGCTACAGTTTAGACTAAAGACACTGCATGAGATTTTCAGTACAGGTAAGTATATGGAGAGTAACCGCTCCATTTAGTTGGTCTAATGGTTCTTCAAATCCTTATGCTCCTCACATCATACTGACACATGCATAGAGTTAGTGCGAACTACTAACTGATATAAGAATATGAAATTACAAGCCTTTGGGTGTTGTATTGAACAACACACTTACCTCGAGTGATAGAACCATGAAAGTTTTGAAAAAAAAAAAGCAAGAAAGCAAATGTACTTTTTAAGAAAGTTGAAAGCTTCTTTCCCAGAATTCGTCCATTTTTACGAACTTTAACAGGTGTGCTATAGAAAGTATTTCAATTATGCGTTTAATTGTATTGTTAGGGCGTGCATCTGTGAAGGAAAAAAAACTGGAAATGTTAATTTTGACGGCAAGTGAGATAATTGGGACAGATCTTAGTAGTATATAAACGACGGGAGCCTTAACAAAAAGGATTATCCCTGATAGGGCCCTTTAACTATGTGTGTTATTTATTGCAATATGCGTTTTAATATATATTTTACTACATTAAAAAGAAAGAAAATGTTTATTTTGGTTGGCATAACAAGTGTATACGCAAGATTCAAAAGGGGGGTGTTTATTTGAATACGATGAACAGCGTTTTTATTGAATTGGATGAACAAAAAGACGCAAAGACGCGCGTTATTATTGATCTTAAAAGAGGTGTCACGCGGCTTAGTAAAACGCGTCTCACATAGTGTAAACAAACAAAGGTCCGCTTATGGTCAGCTGAAACTATTGTAATCTACAGTATGTAGAATAGTGCCACAGCAGAATAATCATGACAACTAGCGTAGCATAATTTGTATTACACCAAAAGATGCAGAGTGTACTAATTTTCTCGCTAAAAGCTCATACTTCATTAATTGGCTTGGCGTATATGGTTTTTATCTCCGACTAACCAACTTTTGACCCTCCTTTCCTGACACTCGCCATAACTCTCTGTAACAATCAAGGGAAATCCTTAAACCGCGCTAACGTCAAGGAGGTTGAACAGAAGGGAATGGCGTTTTGTCCGTTTTGTTATGTAAAGACAAGCAGTACACTCAAAATGATATATGCAAAAAATAAATATCTTAGCTTTATATAGTTCCAAATGGCCCTTTAAATGTAGCGCAGAAACTGAGCTATTGAATAGCCAATTTTAGTGTTCACCGGACGGCTCTCCAAATGGCACTTAAATCGAGACACAAAATAGTTAAGCACCCGTGCCATATTTTAGGGCATATTTAAGACGAAAAAGGCCATGATATGTACTTACTTTGGGTACATGTTATTCTTAGTGCACTCGTTCACCTTGTCTTAACATACAAAAAAAGACAACATGTCAAGATTTATGTACATTTTGTATAGGCCAAGACTCTAATGTTAGTACCCGTATTTTGATAATCATTTTCATTTTCAAGAAATACTAGTTTAAGCTGTATGATATTATATTATTGTTAATTAGGTAAGATAAAAGGAACTCGACTGCTGGACATCGGTACAGGCCCGTGCATTCACAGTGTCATTAGTGCGTCCAAATGGTTTGACGAAATAACACTAACGGATTTTGCCGATGTTAACCGAAGAGCGCTAAAGAAATGGTGGCTGGAAGAAGATGGAGCTTGGAACTGGGACCCGTTTTTTAAATATGTGGCAAAATTAGACGGAAACGAGTAATCACAGTTTGACTTCATAGAGATGAACTTAGTAGAAGTTTTCCAAGAAAGCTCAAAATCGCAAAATAAATCTCTGCCAGTAATAATAACTTAAGTAACTGTCAAGAAAGATCGACTTTTCGAATTTCAAATTTCATGTTTGAATAATAACCTTACAGATACATTTAAATTTATATCCCTTCTAGCACAAAGTCCTAGAAAGGTCTGTTGGTGAAGTGAAAAAAATACTTCATTCGTTTATTCTATCAGTATACACATTCATCCTTCCAGGGGAAAATGGGAGAAATACAGGGAAAAGCTTCGAAAGAAAATCAAAGACGTTCTAGTGTGTGACGTCCATAAGGTGAACCCGATCTCCCCACATAAAGCCGGTCGGTACATGTATGACGCCATAACCAGCTGCCAATGCCTAGAGGTCGCCAGTGCTGATACTGAGGCATACAAACAAGCCATCAAAAACGTGGTGTCCTTTCTAAAAGTCAACGGTTACTTCGTGTTGATTGGCAATTTAAACGACCGGTTATACCATGTTGGACAAGAGACGTTTTTCTGTTTACCATTAGAGAAGGAAACGGTAGAAGAGGCGCTTGAGCAAGCGGGACTGGAAAATATCACTTGGTGTCAGTACGATGTCGGTAAAGAAGATGATGAAATGGAATGCATTTTATTTGTCGCCTCAGCAACAAAAAAGGCAGTTATGTAGATATGCACAAATAAGTAGAATAAGCTTTGTGCTGATACTTAAAGGGATAATAACCATTCGTTTTGGCCAAAAAATGAATTTTCCTGGAGTAAACAACAATTTTCCCATGCTTACCAATGGTTAATGAATCCATTTTTACATTCAAAGTTAGTCCCTGGTTTTTTTCTAAAAAGTTTGGTTTTTTGTTGAAATCTCTTAAGAGATTTTAACAGAGTATAGCCATCAATGGAGGTCACGTGGTCTGAAGACAAGCTCAGATATCAGAATAATAGCTATAACTGCTGTTTTTGTCGTAAAACAGAATATATTATATTTCTGTGAGTTATTCACAATGTTTTTATTGTGAAATATAGACCTCATACGAAGAGTTATTATCCCTTAAATCTGGGAAGAATAATTCTCTGATGACATGTGCTCATGGCTATAGAGGAAATATATTTTTTCTTGTTTTAACTTACTAACACATAAAATGTGTCAAAACCTCTTGACCAAGTGTATTAAGTCATATAGCATGGTATTATATCTAAAGGGCAATGTCTTTTTTATATCTAGACACCAAAATATGTTGAGAACGATCTTAATTTCAATCTCGTCATGTAAAAAGGTATAGCGAATCTTCAAAAGAGATTCAAATTTTCACAAAAATACCATTTTAACACCAACACGGCGATTATCGCAATTATTCTGAAATCCGTACTTGCCATCGGATCACGTGGACCTTCATAGATGGCTACCCTCCGTAATACTCTCTTAAGAAATTATTATTAACCCACATTTTAAAAAGAAAAAAAGGGTTGACTAACTTTGAATGTGAAGGGATTCACTAACCGATTCTAGGACAATTCCCCCCCAGGACAATTCCCCCCC